ATAGACTCATGTCGTGCATGAAGCTAAGAGTGAGAGCTCTCAGTCAGCTCTCTGCTCCCTAGAGAGGAATCGGTCCTGCCCGTTTGCATTGTAATGTGGCAGACAAATAGGAAACCATATTCCTTCTCTTTCCAGAGCACCTCCCACAAACTGGATACTGTTCCTGGCTCTGAGGATACAAATATGGCTAATAAAAACAAGAACTCATTGTACTTTATTGAGTACGTGCTTCATGTCAGGTCATGTCAGCCCAAGGGGCATATAACTTGACACCCCACTTGATTGCAGTTCACACCTGTAAGGGGTGTATGGGGATTCAAACAGAGGCAGGGCTCTGCTCGCGGCCTGTTCTTCAGTGCTGCAGCGTGTTCCAGCCCATGAAGAACAGCTGGCCTTGGGTGAAATTGCTGGGGTCCACATAAACATCTAACAAGATGTGATTCTTTCTCTGTGAGAGAAGGGAGACAGCTGTGGGGTCAGCTTTCCTGAACATAAGGAATTTGGGAAGAGTTTAATCAGGGTACTGGGCTAGAGTCTAGAGCAGAAAGACCAGACCTGGGGGAGAAGATGACGCGCAGGAAGCTCTGAAGTCACTGTGGGCTAGGTCATTTGCCTCTGAGCAGAGCTGCTACAGAGCAGATGGCTAACTCTTTGCTTCATGTTTCTTGATTATACTCATCTGCTTGCATGGTTTTCTTCTACTTAAATGTTGTGGAATGCTGTGCTTCAGGTGTGTCTGACTCTTTGCGACCCTGTGGACAGTAGCCCGCCAGGCTCTTCTGTCTATGGGATTCTGTAGGCAAGAATACTGGGGTGGGTTACCATTTCCCACTCCAGAGGATCTTTCCAACCCAGGGATCGAACCCATGTCACTTTCGTCTCCTGCATTGTCAGGTGAGTTCTTACCGCTAGTGCCACCTACTTAAATGTTCAGGTGAGTCCCAAATCTGTATCTGGGTTCAGCCTTTCTGAAATCAGTCTGTATTCATTCTTTGTGATTCCTTCAGCAAGTATTTACTGAGGACGTACTGTGTACCTCACACTATCCTAGTGGTTGGAGACACAGTAGTCAAAACAGATGAACATCTCTGCCTTCAGGGAGCTGCATCCTGATGGGAGAGATGTTAAAGTAGAAATAAACTAAATACTGGGAGTATTAGATGATAGAAATATTACGAGAAATAAAGCAGGCAAAAGAGTGGAAAGTGTGAATGAGTGTCTGTGTGTGTGCCTGCGTGTGTGTATTTGTATGTGTGAGGGAAAGAAATTAGGAGGCAGAGGCTTACAGTTTTAGAGAATGTCGCTCAGCCCACCTTATTGAAAAGGTGACATATGAACAAAGATGGAAAGGAAGTAAAGGCCTGGGACCTGCGAATCTCTGGGGGAAGAGCATCCCAAGAGGCGGAAAAGGCATCTGCAAAGACCCTGAGGCAGGATCCTGCCTGCTGCGTCCAAGGGCCAGCATTCTGGGCAAGGTGCAAGGCGGAAGGGCGGGAAGTGAGGCAGCAAGGCAGGTGTGTGGCAGCTCACGTGCGCCTTGGAGGCTGTTGTGTGGACTTAGTCCTGAGTGAGACACAGAGCTGTTACTCGAGTTTTAGACAAGTACACGTTGTAAATTGCTTTTTTTTTCTTTGTTTTGTTTGTAAATTGTGGTCATATACACATTACGTATAATCTACCATCTTAATCATTTAGGTGTACAGTTGAGTAGTGGTAAGTACACTCGTGTTGTGTAACCAGTCTCCAGAGCTTTCTCCATCTCGGAAAATGAAAACTCCACCCCTATCAAGCCACTCCCCATGCCCCAACCCCAGCCCCTGGCAACCAGCTCCACTCCACTTTCTGTCTCAATGCATGTGACTGCTCTAGGTACCTTGTAGAAGTGGAATCATGAGGTATTTGTCTCTTGTGACCTGCATTTTTCACTTACTATAGTGTCCTTAGGATTCATCCATACTGTAATGTGTGTCAGAACGTCCTTTCTAAGGCTGAGTAATAGTCCACTGTACGTGTACACCTGTCGGTTTGTCCATCCATCCATACATTCATCCACTGATGGAGTTGCTTCACCCTTTGGCTACTGTGAGTGATGCTGCTGTGAATGTGGGTGTACAGATCCCTGTGAGGTCCACTTTCATTTCTTTTAGATGGATACCCAGTAGAATTACTGGGGCCCATGCTGGTAATTGTCTGCCTACTTTGTGGAAGAACCACCGTACCGTTGTCTTCAGCAGCTGTGCCAGGATCCCAGCTTCTCCACACCCTCTCCCACACTTACTGTTCCTGTTTTTGTTTTGTCTTTCATAGTGGTCATGCTGTGGGTTTGGGGCTCTAACTCATTGAGCTTCCCTAACAATCTGTGATGTTGAGTATCTTTTCATGTGCTTATTTGTTTATCATCTTTGGAGAAATGTCTCTTCAAGGCCTTTGCCCATTTTTTATTCAACTTGTTGGGGTTTCTTGTGTGGTGGTCGCTGAGTTGTAGTTCCCGTGTGTTCTGGTTATTTCCTCCTTATCAGATACGTGTGCAAATGTTTTCTCCCATTCTGAGAGATGCCCTGACAGGATTTCTCTGGATGTTGAGTTGAGAGTAGGCCGGAAGGGGGTAAAGATGGAAGGGGTAGCCCATTACCTCGTTGTTGTTGTTCTGTACTCGATAGGTTGTGTCTGACTCTTTGTGGCCCCGGGGACTATAGCCCACCAGGCTTCTATCCATGGGATTTTCCAACAAAAATACTGGACTGGGTTGCCATTTCCTTTTCCAAGGGATCTCCTATGTTGTAGGCAGATTCTTTACCACTGAGCCACCAGGAAAGCCAAGTTACCTGGTTTTCTTAATATTTCTGAACTAGAAAATTTAGCATCACCATTCTGTAGTGTCCTGATCCTGTGGACCCTGTCTCTGTTGCCGCCATCTCTCACCTTGCCCCCTGGGACATAGACGCCCTACTCCTCAGAGGCTCTTGAGGCCTCGCCTGATGTCCCTCTGCTTCTGCCCTCCCCGTCTCTTGCCTGCATCCACACCCGCCCCCCACCCTGGAGCTGGCCCCCGCAGCCTCTTCCAGGCAGAATCCACCCCAGCTCCCCTCTCCCTCCTGGCAGATCTCACCCATCCTCACTCCCACGCTCCGTTGTTCCCCATCTCCATGGCTGCCTCTTCTGCTCAACAGGGAACTCTTTCCAGCGTGTGAAAGAGACCCGTCTTCATCACAGCATCCTTCCTCCAGCCTGGGCCTGGCACAGAGCGGGGCCCAGAACATGTTTGATTCGGTGAATAAATACACAGATGAGAAAGAAGAAAGAAGGTGTAAGATGAAAGAGACAGGGAAGCCTGAGCGGGGGAGCGCTGGGGGTGGCCTGCAGCTGTCCCGTGGCCCCTCGGACTGTGTACAGTCGGTCCCTCTTTGTGGGACTTGGGGCCGGCGGCGCCCCTCCCCTTCTTTCCTTAGACCTTCTTTTTCCTGGCTCCCTGGTACTGCATTCAGAGTTCCTGGATGAGGCTCAACTCTGTTCCCTTTATTTCTCCTTCTTTTTTCCCATACTTTACATAATAAAGGTTTCCTTTTCTATTCTTTTTTTTCTTCCTTTTTATTTGGGAGTCAGAAAACTGAAGAGACTATCTTTATTAAGAACTTAATAAAGAACTCAAAGGAAGTAGTTTGGCGAGGGGAGCATGAAGGGAAAAAAAGTGGCCTTTCACTCCAGGGAGATTCTGCTGTGCGTAAAGGGAGCTGTACCCTTGTAAATGGGTTTTCGGGTTCAAGGCCTGGGAAAGATGGGAAGAAAACAAAGGCATCAGCGAGAAGGCCCAGAGCTTCTGGGAAAGAAGGCCTTGTTTATGCCTGTTGAAACCGATTTGGTCAAGTGTTTGTTTAAAAGAGATGCCACTTGGTGAGCGACGCCTGGCTCCCTTGTGTCGTGTTCGAGACTGCTTGGATTGGCTGGAGCCCCCGACACTGTTTACTCAGAAGCCGGCCCCAGTGAGCGCGTGGAACCAGAAGCACAGCGCCCAACTCCACGGGGTCTGAAATATCTGGATACCAGGATCTGGGCTGTGGCAGCTTGAATCCTCCAGGCAGAGCCAGACCCACCAGGGGACTGGCCTGCTCCTTCCAGCCTTGGTTGGCATTTTTCAGATTTCTGCTGATTAATAAATACTGGTTGGTGGGTGAGACCTTGGTGTTTTTTAGAAAGAGGATCCAAGGACAAATAAGTCTCAGAGGGAGGTGAACACTGAACACATATGTGAACATCTGCCAAAGACAGCAGTGTGATTCAGGTGGAACCATTCATATTTCTAAAGTAAGGGGGTGTAGCCCCATCTTCCAGATGAGGAAACTTGAGGAACAGAGCTGTCAAGAGGGTGGGGTCAGAGATGCAGGGGATTCTATTCCAGTTAGACCCAGCGCTGAATTCCTGTTTCCCTTATTAGGCTGGCAGGATTCTGCACTTTTTTTTTTTAAACCCTTGTGCCTGTCGACACGCCTGGTACATGGTAGGTGTCGGTAAAATGTGAAGTGTGTAATGATGCGCTCAGTTGGATTAAATTGGATGCTGGGCTCTGGTGCCTGCATTCTTGTGAGTGATGGGGTTGGCCTGGATTCTGAAGATTCTAGACACGAGCAGCCTCAAAAGCTGGCTGGTTGCATGGGGCACATCCTCTGTGGGAAAGTGTACCAGTGAGCTCTGAGTTCTGGTCATGCCAGGCTGCTCTCCACATGGCCAAAATATCACTCCCATGTTCCTGTCCTTGGGGAGAGCAGCCTGGCTTAGAACTTGGGCAGACAAACTTGTCACAGGCAAAGAATTTAATGTTCCGTCTAGTTTCCGGCCTGCAGGTAATAATAACCTGATGGAAAGAAGGATGGGAGACCTCATTTGCAAGTGTCATAGCATTTGTAATTCTCTGAAACTGCAGGGGGAAAAATGTCTAGAAGTGTGGAGGAAAATAGTTTCTTTGCAAAATGACATGTTGGACTCACCTGCCCTGTGTGTTTTAGGCAACACAACAGGATTCGCAGCGTGGAGGGGAGTCAGCTGAAGGCTTACCTTTCCTTGCAAGTGTTGGATCTCAGCGTCAACAACATCACAGAGATCCGGAGCACCTGCTTCCCACACGGACTGCCCCTCAAGGAGCTGTAAGTGCATCAGGTCTGCCTGCACTGGCCAGGCCTGGACGCTGGTGGATGCTGGCTGAGTCCATGGGCCAGGCACATGCCTGCCATCTGTGCCCTCAGCAGGGCAGGGGCCCCAGGTCCACAGTCCTCTGTTAGCCCATTTTCAGCATGTCCAAGTCAGCGGTGCTGTTCTGACTGTACACGTGGGCGAGGGAGCTGACCTGGGGGAAAGACCATCTCAGAGAACCATCTCGCACTAAAACGTGTGGCTGTGTGGACCACAAAGCCAGGTTTCTTTCTCCTTCCGGGGGCTGCCCCCTAGGTGAGCTTAGAGAAGAGATGGGGAATAGTTAGGTGAGTGACAGCGGAGGGCGGCCTCTCTGCAGAGACTCCACCAGCCAGTGCCCACCTGTCCTCAGAGTGCTCTCGACCTGCTTCGTCGGATTGTTGGTCTGTTTCTGTTCTGCCCTGTCTCATGCCTGCTGATGGCAGACAGAAGGAAAACAGTCAAAATCTAGTTAACCCGCTGCTTGTTGGTAGGAGAAGATTATTTTAGGGAAGAAACAGAAAACTAGGCTAAAGAGGCGTCTTCAGATGACATGTGAGCCCTCATCTCTTGGGTTACCACTGAGTACTCTAAGGGCTGTTTGTGAGGTTGGTTTATGGGTCATTGTGACCCATCAGTTCAGAGACCAAGGCCGGGCGCACAGATTTTTGAGATGCCCGAGGAGCAGAACAGTCTCTTTCTTAGGATGCATCAGGGTGCCTGAGGTGGAAGCGGGAGGCCTTGGCCAATCCTTCAGCTGATGGAGTGGTGCTCAGCCCCAGTGGGGCTTCCGAAGGAGGTCCACCAGCCACCCCCCACCACCCTGCTTGGGACAAAAACACCTCCCCTGCTGAACTGCCTCGCAGTGACCTTCTCTTTCTGCACGAAAGCAGGGGGACTCTGTTTTGGCAGAAGCTGGCCGGTATATCTTCGTCACACAGACTGTTCTTTAATCTGGAGTGTTGAGAACAAACAGTCCAGCTCCGTTTGCAAAGAATCCTCATATGCCCTGTGCTGGGCCTCTGCCGGATGGAGATGAAGAATGCCTCCTTCCCTTCCCAACTCTGATGTAGAAAATTCTCTCTGGTCTCTTCTCTTTTGTTTAAGGCACAACAAGGCAGCATCGGTACAGGGAAGGTGGAAGGAAAAGTGTTGTGGCCCCACTTCCTTTCCCTCTCCCCCGCTCGGAACCATTCGTGTGCAGTTCTCCTTCACTAGAATGTTTCTCTGACACATTTGAAATGATTAAAATGAAATGTTTTATGTACATTTAGAAGTCATACAATGGGATCCACTTCAGAATTAAAGGCCATTTCCCCAAATTGTGAAAGCCTCTCTGACCTTGCCTCACAGTGGACTCTCTGCTTCCTAAGGCTCTTCTCACCAACCTTGAACCCTGACCCTTGGGTAGTGGCTGGCACAGAGGGACTCCTGCAGCAGCCCAGCTGGAGTGGAGGCCATTGACCTCCTTCCTGGAGCAGTCACCCTGGCTGAAAGCAGGGTGAGCTCTGGGCTCGAACAAGCCAGGCCTCTGTCACGTCTGAAGACGGTCCTAACACCTGAGGCTGGGAGCGGACATGGGCTTTGCAGCATCAGGATGACCAATGTCTCATTGGAAACCCAGCCTGCTGGGTGTGTTGTAGCTTGTTTTCCCAACTCAGCCAGGTCTGGCGTCTGTAACAAGACAAGGAAGGCCTCCTACTGACCCCTGCATTTTCTCTCCTGAATCCTTCCAGCAACCTGGCAAGCAACCGGATCAGCACCCTGGAATCCGGAGCATTTGATGGTCTGTCACGGTCACTGCTAACGCTTCGGTTGAGCAAAAACAGGATCACCCAGCTTCCTGTGAAAGCATTCAAGTTACCCCGGCTGACACAACTGTGAGTCCAGAGACCTGTACCGTAATTAAGCTTAGCCAAACTTTATGGAGACGAGTTCCCCAAGGAGTGTTCCAAATGCACCCGCTTCCCTTGCTCCCCTTCGGTTGGGCTCTGCATAAACTACCACTGATGGCCCTGCGGCAGCACCTAATAAAAGCAAATTAGACGCTGGGTCTGGAGCCTGCAAACTGCCCCAGGTTGCTGAGAAAAGATCCTCTGAGGATATGCAGGCCGGTCCTCTTCAGCACTTTCCAGAACACAGTGAGGAATCCTGCTGCTTAGCTGACCCTGGCTAACACATAGCCTGTGTGGACTGGAGTCCTTATTTATTGTGAGGTTTCTGTGTGTGTGTGTTTTTTTTTTAAGGAACCCATGTAATCTGTCCAGTGGCCATTATGGGGTCCAGTGCTGCTTGAGCAGTTAAGAGAGGAACTTAGTGTAGCCACAGGTAGGAAGCAAGAGGTAGGGTCACTGTTTTCATCTCCTCAGTCTCATAAGGTAGTTGATTGGCTTTTTTTTTGTAAAGAAAGGATGTGTTTGTTTAGTTTTTTGACTACCACAACTGACCGCACTCCTAGAATGGCCCAGGGTTTGGAGTCAAGAAAACCTCTATTTACCAAAACCTGACGGACTGCCTGTTCCCCGGTTTTTTGCCTTTCCAGCGTCCTTTTTTTGGTAGGAGAAAAATGTATTTCTGGAGAATACACTGATACTGGAGCTTTGGTTCAAGCAGAACGGGCTACTCAGGGGCAGGTGTGGTGGCAAGGCGGGGTGCTCCCCTCTCTCTCACTGCTGTGCTCCCCGCGCACACCAGGCCGGGGGTCGCGGAGAGACTCCCTGATAGTCAGGACCTGGTGTGCGTCATGAGACACTGCAGAAGAATTTGGGGAAAACCGAGGGCTCACTGGTCAGGCTGTGTTCTCCCTTCCCAAGTGTTACCAATGTAGCCAGCTCACCCAGATTCCTGAAATCTTTTGGTTCACTGAGGTCTCATCACACAGGGGCCGGAGGCCCATGAGTGTGCTTCATGGTGGTTCCAGGCACCTCCTCCCGAATGCAGTTGGTGGGAAGTTGCCACCAGTATCTAGTGGTTCGAGTTCCTGGGTTGACGCATCTGATGGTGGTTTCTGCCGCTGAGCTAAGAGATGGCTCACCTAAGACATTCATACCCTGAGTCACACCCTGTCCTCACGACAGAGTCACGGTTATGGGGGAGGAAATAGGAGTGCTTGCTCATTCTGGGGTGCAAGGGGACCAGCTTCTAGGAGCCCTGGGCTCCCTTTCACATGTTAACAGTGGCCAGTTGGTGTCTTGGGCACACGGGCTTCCATGGTATGTCTGTGCTGCCCGGGACCTTCTCCTGGGATTGTCCCGGGGGACCACCTGGTGATGGCTGTGGGGGGGGCATGGGTAGTGGATGCTCTGAACTGCTGGCCTCCTCTCTTTAGGGACCTCAATCGGAATCGGATTCGGCTGATCGAGGGCCTGACATTCCAGGGGCTCGACAGTTTGGAGGTGCTGAGGCTCCAGCGAAACAACATCAGCAAGCTGACGGACGGTGCCTTCTGGGGGCTGGCCAGGATGCACGCGCTGTGAGTCGGCGCCGGGCGCCGGGGCTCCTGCAGGCCCTGAGCGACCCCCTGGGACTTCGGCTGGACCCAGTCCCTGCCCTCTGGGACCTCAGCGGTGGCCCTCCTCAGTGTCTTTGGGATCTTTTGCTACCTCTTGGGGTGTTTTCCTTGCAGGCTAGGATAATCTCTTGGGAGAGTTTCAGAGGATTTGGTAAAGTGAGCTGGTTGGTGAGGATGGAAGGCAGGGGCCGCTTTGCTGGGGCTGTTCCCCTCTTCCATTTCCACTCCCCCTGTTACTGAATGCACGCTCTGGTGCCCAACTCACAATGTGGCCAAACAATACTGCAGCGTCAGACTTTGGAGCAGAGAAAGGTTTATTGCAGGGCCATGCAAGGAGATGGGTGGCTCATGCCCCAAGAAAAGCCAGAGTCCCAAAGTGTTTCAGGAAAGTATTTTTAAAGGCCAAGTGAGAGAGGAGCATGGTTGCTTGTTACAACCAGCAGCCTTGGTGTAGGAATCCCTTGATCTTGCAGCCATCCATTGTAAGTCAGGTCCTGATGTTCAGTAAACCTCCGACCAGACGAAAGTTATTCTTAGTTCTGCAACTTCTTGTCTCTAGATGAGTGGAAAAGCATCATATGGCCTAGTATTCTTCATACTCTAGGCAGCATTCTTAACCGGAAGCAAAAGAGATAGAATACGAAGGTTAAAGTACAGCGAACATCTATTATGGAGTCAGATTGTTCTTCCTGATTATACCCCTGCCCCCCGCTCCTTGGCGGACAGTGGGCTCCCTTCCCACATCCTCTCCCCTCTCCCACACGCCACAGGAAGTTCCCTCTCCCTCTACTTCGGTTTTGACAGTCTTTCTTGATGTGCAGGTGGGCCAAAGAATGTATAGTTTGTCCTGAGAGATTTATTTCTGTTTTGTGAGCTAATCAAGCCCCTCACTGCAGATGTTCCATTTCTGTCAAGGGAGCACTTGCTCCAGCCAGATGTGGACAGTCTTGGGGCTTGCCGGCCTAACAGGGGAACAGAAGAGCGTCCGGAGAGGGTCAGACGAGGCAGTTACCAAGCTTCAACTTTTAAATATTTACATTTGTTTATTTTTAATCAAAAGAAACATATACTCAATAGTTGAGCAAAATCAGATAGTAAAGAAAAGCAGTTGTTGCCCAACCCTAGCCCCCAGTCTCTCCCCCCACTCCCAGTTCCACTCACAAGAGGCAGGCAGTCACTTCTCATCATGTTCTATCTTTGTGTTCTATTTGTAGTTCTGCTGGTTGCTCCTTCCAAGTTCATATACTAATACCACTTACATTTTGGTGTGTCATCATGAGATTTCTTGCTTTATGGTCAGTGATTTAACTTGCTCAAGACACGCCGAAGCCCTTCGGTCTGCAGGTTACACCACTCCATCTGTGTCCTTGCTCAATTATCTTTGCAACTGAAACAAAAACCAGAAACTCCAGGTCCAGTTCCATCAACTCCCTGTGCCTTCGTCATTATCTGGAGCATCTCTCAATGTGCATACCTTCATACACACCCACACACACGCACACACACATATTTTGTAGACAGCTTAGCCTTGCGAAGCTTTGCTTCTCCCTCTCTTCATTGTTCACCTTTGCATAACTCTGTCTCTTTTATATATTCAAGAATACTTGTCCTTGACATCCTTAAAACTGTCATTTTAGACTTTGGAAGCCAGGTGGCCGTGCACTGGGTGGGCTGGGAGTCAGAGTGCATTCTCAGGAAAATATAGAGTTCTTAGCACATACCATTTGGTTTTTCTGTTGAACAAATTCATGCAAGTTGGGGGGTGAAGGAAGAGTTACCTTAGAGGTTAGTTATAAATTAAGGGTTCACGTTTTGAGCAGACGCAGGAAACAGACGATGTGAAAAGCAAAGCCCGGCTGCCCGAAGCCCTTGTGATTGTGCGTGTGGAGCAGCATATGAAGTAGTAGCTTCTGGTCACAAGGCCAGTCCTGTGAGGTGGCGCATCGTCTGTGGCCGCGCTGTCGAGAAGGCTGGTGGTAACTTAACATCCCTACTTACTGAACTTAAACAGGAGCTCAGTTCTCAGCACGAAGCTGAAATTCTGACCTGCGTTTTCTGCCTTCTCAGCACAGCCCTATGTAGTCAATACTTCTTGGGCATCTCCACTTCATGGTTGTTCAGGCTCCTCCAACCAGCCAGGTGACAGAATTGAGAATTAAGTCGCAGTATTTCAACCCCAGATGTCAAGCCATGTCTTGGCACAGTGGCCCCAGGCCCAGGCTTGGTTCACCTAGCTCTGAATTCCAGCCCCTCACTACTGGCTGAGCTGAGGAACAAGTCTTAGGTTACCCTGCTTGTCTCAGCCTCAATTTCCTCATCTGTAAGACAGGGATAGTGATGAGAGCTATCTCCTTGTCTTCCTCTCTCTGCCTTGAGTGGGCCCTGCCTTCTACTTTGAGCTCCTTGCCCGTATGCTGCTGGCTCGCTTGTATGCCACTCAGAAGGTTGCTTCTAGGAGCTTCCCTGTGGCCTGTGAGCCCCCGCAGCTAGCCTGAATCCTCACCACCATCTGGGTAGCTTTGTCTCCCTGCCACCCCACAGGTGTGTGCACACGTCAGTGCACACCCATCACGAGTCCCTCCAGCAGTGTCAGGTCCTCAGTGCCGCCTGGTGTGATGGCAGGGAGCGGCTCCTTCGCCGTCAGGTGGGCGGGTGGGTGCGGGACCCCCGGGATCTGCACTCACACTCACCGCACGGGGGGCTGTCGCGGCAGGCACCTGGAGTACAACAGCCTGGCGGAGGTGAACAGCGGCTCGCTGTACGGCCTCACGGCCCTGCACCAGCTGCACCTCGGCAACAACTCCATCTCCCGGATCCACCGAGACGGCTGGAGCTTCTGCCAGAAGCTGCACGAGCTGTGAGTGTCCCACCAGCGCTGCGGGTGGCGGTGGACGCACCCGGGGGTGCCTCCTCCAGAGCCTGGGGAGCCCTGGGCCCCGTGACCCTCAGCACAGGGGCTTGGGAGGAGTGTTGAGGGCCTGTTGCAGAGCGGGACTCCAAGGACCTGAGAGCCTGACTCTCACCTATTCTAGACTCTGCTCCCCATTTCAGATTAGCAGGGACCACTGTCTAAGAACAGCTGTTTTGAGAGCCTCTGGCCACAAACGGCTGCAGCCTGTAACATGTGCTTCTGTATAGAGAGCGGCTACAGGCAGACCTCAGTGGTACTGTGCAGTTAGTCCCAGACCACCTTGTGACGCTTTTGGCTCCCCAGTACATAGAAAAGTGTCTTTTTGCTACACTGTAGTCTGGGAAGTGTGCAGTAGCATTATGTCTGAAAAAATGATGTACAGATCTTAATTTAAAAATACTTTATTACTGAAAAATGCTATTTATCACCCAGCCACACAGGGTGCCAAAATCTTCAATTTGTTTAAAAAAAAAAAGTGTAGTATCCTCAAAGCGCAGTAAAGCAAGTTATGTCTATATTGGGGCTCACAGAAAAGACAGTGAACCCGAGAAGTGGTGACACGTGGACAGTAAGGAATTTCTATGTGTTTACCATGTTTAAACTTAGTACTGAGTCTTTTGCAGGTTGTGTTTTTATCTATTTGTCAACATTCTCCCCTCTCCCCCCTCCTCCTTCCCCCTCAGCCCACCCCATACTGACCTGGAGTTTATATTTCAGTGAAGTCCATCATTACCTAATGTAAAAATCGATAGTTGTGTGTGTGTGTGTGTGTGTGTGTGTGTGTGTGTGTGAGAGAGTAACCCTTTGGGTTTGGCTCCCTGCCCCCTCCAGGCCGTGGAGCTGCACGGTATCCTCACGTGGACTGGGATGGCTTCTGAAAGGCTCCCCTTGGGCCAGGACCCCACTCAGGAGCTCCCAGGACCCTTGGTTTTCCACGGTCCGGGCATCGGAGCCGTGGGGAAGCAGGAGAGGTCTTCTCATCCCCCGGAGCGCGTGCACTTGCACAGGCGAGGAGCCTCCCGCCCGCTGAATCGCGGAGGGTGTGTGCCCCCTGCTGCTGAGGCAATGGGGAGGGGCGCCTCCTCCTGCCCCCCTCGGCCTGCCTTCTGTGCCCTTCAGAAGGGTCAGAAGCGGTGACGGGAATGTGTCCTGACCAGCTTCACACTGTGTCCAACACCCAGGTAACCCTGGAGCCAGATTTAGGGCTGCTTTCCACGTGTGTGTCCCGCCCCTCCTTTAAGCTGAATTCTTTAATTGCAGGTGAGGATGTAATGTTGATCTCCTGCCAGGTCTTTGCAACTGACAGACACCATGCCTGACTTCTCCAGGAGAGAAAAACTGTCACTCCCTGCTACCTTAACATACTTACTAATCTCCGAATTTATTTTCCTTCCTCCTGCCCCAGCCCAGAGTTCCCATTTTTTCAAGGACAGATGACTAATACGCTAGGTCACAACCCACAGCCACATCAGAGGTGCAGGGGGTGTGCTGGGAGGAAAGTTTGATTCTGACGCTCAGAGAAGGTGTGTGATTGGAGGTGTGGTCCTGACCTGCTTACAGTAGGGAGATCATGCTAAGAGGCTGGCTCAGGTGAGGGCAAGGAAGCCTGGAGGGACACTGGTCCCAAGGGCGCCGCCCAGGTGAGGCCTACAGTTCGGTGAGGAAGTCTTATTCCAGGGAGTGCCTGGTGGCGCCCTCTGCTGGCCGAGGGTGGAGGCTGTCCGGCTGCCTCGCTCATTGTGAGAACCCGCTGGGGTCCCATCCAGAGTCTCTGGCCACAGCCGTGAGAAGTCTTCCGTGGCCTGAATCAGGACCAGCCACGGACACGACGTGTAGGAAAGGGTTGGAGCCTTGTGGTTGCTTGTTGAACGACCCTGTTTACAGATCTCCTTCCAAGAGTCAAGCTCCATGGGCATCAAGCCGTGGTGGGTTTCTAGCTCTGAGACCACTTTGCCCTCGGGATTCTGGTGGCCATGTCCCTTCCCACTTGGACCCAGACGACTGGCTGACCCGGCTCCACCGTCGGGAGAGGAGAAGGGACAACACCGAGCAACCCAATGGTGATCACGTTTGCTCTCCCCTCCCGTTCCTCAGGATTCTGTCCTTCAATAACCTGACCCGGCTGGACGAGGAGAGCCTGGCCGACCTGAGTAGCCTGAGCATCCTGCGCCTCAGCCACAACTCCATCAGTCACATCGCGGAAGGCGCCTTCCGGGGACTCAAGAGCCTGCGTGTCTTGTAAGTCTTTCCCCGTTGGGTTGATGGGAGAGCAGAAGACAGCAAGCCACCTGCTTCACTGTGTTCCCTTCTCACTGGTCTTGAGTTGCAGTTAGATCCACAGCTGACTTGTGATGTCTGCCACGGTCTCAAACTTTAATATCATAAATCAAAAAAGAGCTGGTTGAGCAGAAAACTGTCCTTCATTCCCCTTAGGGTGGTGCCTAGAATGATGAAGACTCAAACTCTTCTCCAAGCGCTGGTTCCCACATTACGCGTGATGGGACGTGGGGTCCAGCTGCAGGAACTTCCCCAGACTGCACGCTGCCCCCTGGGACAGCAGCCCAGCCGGGGGGCCGTCCTTGCATCCTGAGCCGTCCCACAGTGACTCGAGGTTTTGTCCTGAGCGTTTTTATCTGAGCGAGGGCAGTACTGAGGCGTGTGTCTTGGGCTAGCATCTCAACTTCTTCAGCACACACTGTGCGTTCAGAAGCCCATGTCCACGAGGGGTGACAGGGGAGCCCTGTGTCCCTGAGGGTCGTTTAACCCAGCGGAGGTGGTCGTGTCACCTTCCTTGCAGCAACCAGTGAGGTGGAAGGAACTTTCAGAGCTTGCTGCAGGGCGCTTTTGGGGACTGAAATTTTTCAGCCATTGGCTTCCAAGAACTTCCAGGCAACAGAGAACAACCAGCCAACCAGCTATGGGGTGGGGGTTGAGGGGGGGCGCATCTGGATTTCAACAGAGGGTTGTGGGTCCTCCCTCCCAGGCCTGCCCCCTGCAGAAAGAGCGGCTGCTCCAGCCTGATGGGGAGAAAGGCCCTTGCACTTGGCAGGGAGGGCTGAGAAAGCTGTCACGCCAGGCCGTCGCTGGGGAGTGAGAAAGAACCCGGACACCAGGCTATTCAAGCTGGGGTCAGCCTCCGAGCCCTCGCGGTGCTGACTGACACGGCCAGGATGTTCAGATGGCGCAGGCCAGAGAAGAGAGAAAAAACTCTGGCAGCCAGGACTGGAGCAGGGGGACAGGCACACAAAGCCGCAGCCCCGGGTCCCGGGTGTTTCAGGACAAATAAGGAGTAACGGATGAGAAGGAGGAGGCCCTTCCAGCCTCTGAATCGCAGCTCTCTGCACATGCTGCTGTAAAATAAAGGTCAGAGCAACCAACGCACTCCACGGTCCAAGCTCCCTGCCCCGTTGGCTCTCCCAGGAGCCAAGAGCAGCATCCCGTCCTGTTCACGGCCCACGTCTCCAGGGCTCCGGAAAGGAAGGTGTGGGAGACCTTGTGGAAAGTCAGAGAGGGCCCACCGGGGCAGCACGGGGCATGGTCACCAGGTGGGGTGTCTCGCCCGGTGGTGACCTGCCCTTGGAAGCTGGGGCAGGAAGCTGAGTCATCGACCTTGTGATTCTCATTGTTGGAGGGGACCAGTCCGAGAAGTTGGCCTCGTACTCTCATCCTGGCAAGCGGGTCACAAGTCTGACTCAGCACCCAGATGTGCCTGGCTGGGAGTCAGCACCTGTGGAGGCCCTGGGGGGTTGGGAGTTGAGGGTGCAAAACCCACTTGCCAGCCTGGAGGTGGCTACAGAGGGCCCTGTGCCGGGGGCTTGCTGTTCACCGTCCCCCTCCTCCGCGGGCCTTGTGCAGTGTCTCGTCAAGTCCAGGGAAGGGACTCTAGGTGGTAGGAAAGCAGAAGGCAACCTTAGGGAGCCTTTTGGACTCATTCCCAGAGCAGTGACCAGAAGTCCACCCTTGGGGAGTGGAATCCAAAGCAGGCGTTCCCGTGTGCCATCTGCACCCCTTCCCCCGGGGCTGATCTTAGCCCACTGGGGAGCAGCACGTGTAGCCCAGCAGCTGCTGGTTAGAGGCCCCTGTCAGCTTTGTTGGGAGGCTGAGAAAGCCAGGCTGCGCGGCAGGGTGGCCCGGTGGTCACACCGCTAAATTTTTTTTTTTTTCTTGTTTATTTCGCATTGGGGTATAGCCAATAAACTCTGTTGTGGTAGTTTCAGGTGAGCAGTGAACAGACTCAGCCATACACATGAATGTATCCATTCTCCCCCAAGCCCCTTCCCACCCAGGCTGCCACGTAACATTGAGCAGAGTTCCCTGTGCTGTTCAGTAGGTCCTTGTTGGTGATCCATTTTAAATATAGCCATGTGTACAGGCAAGCATAAGTTTGTTTTCTAACGCCTGTAATCTTGGGCAGACATGCCGTCCAGGCGTCTGGAATAGACTGGGATGTTCTGAGCTTCAAGGTGGCAGGCTAGGCATGGGTCTCTCTTCCCACAGCAGACTGGATGCTGAGCCTTCTGTCTCTCCTCCGCAGGGATCTGGACCACAATGAGATTTCGGGCACAATCGAGGACACCAGTGGTGCTTTCACAGGGCTGGACAGCCTCAGCAAGCTGTGAGTGTGGGCACTGGAAGATCCGTGGGGATGGCGCACAGAGGTGGCTCCCCACCGATACACACACCACTTTGGTTGTGGGTCCACCCCGGGCAGCATTGGCACATTCATTGTTCTTTTGTTTGGAAAGGAAAGTCTGCTTAGGAAGGCAGAGACCTCTCCACTTCTCTCTGACCTGCCGTCTCCTTGCTGCCCTGGGTATTGGTTTTTTGGGGGCTGAAGATTTGGGGTTTGGAGGCCCGTTAGATCTTTCCTCTTCAGTTCTTGACTGATGTGAAAACAGCCAACTTTTTTGTTTTTCTTTGCTCAAAGGCGTCTTGCCCTGTTATTCAGTTTCTAGAAATTCTAAACATCTAAAGCCAAGTAACTCTTGACGGTTTAGAGACTTCGGGCAGTCTTTTTGTTGTCAATCATAATCTTAAAGAGAAACAGTCATTACCAAGGGTGATACAGTAGCTGTTTTTCATTCAGGGTTTCCGGTGTTTGGGTTTGTTTTTCTAAGCTCCTAGAATTTGCAAGGCGTGTGTATGTGTGCATGCACGCCTGTGTGTGTTACGTCTAACTCGCCAGAGACGTGTATCTGTGTGTGTGTGAGTGAGTGTGACATCTACCTATCTCAGGAGGTGTGTGTCTGTCTGTCTGAGTATGTGTGACATCTGTCTCAGGAGGCGTGTGTGTCTATGTGTGAGTATGTGTGACATCTACCTATCTCAGGAGGTGTGTGTCTGTCTGTGTGTGACATCTGTCTCAGGAGGAGTGTGTGTCTGTGTGTGAGTGTGTGTGACATCTAACTATCTCAGGAGGCCTAGCTGTGTTTTGCATTTTTCTGTAGTTGAGGAAACAGGGGGAGCGATGTTGCCCAAGATGACACAGCTGCTGGGCGGCAGGGCCTGTGCGGACCCAAAGCCCACCCTGTATCCTCCTCCTCATCCGCTCTTGCTGCCTCTCACCAGCGCTCTGCGCCGAGGCTGCCCCGGGAACATTCAGGCAAGGGGTGGGAGCTGTTACTACTGTTTACTGCCTCTCGAGTGGAGGGTGTGGAGGAGGACAAGACAGAGGATGGTCACAGCTCCATACCCCCACCTCCCCCGGCCTGTTTCGGAGACGGCGAGCCGAGCACGAGAGTAAAGTAAATATTTTGAAAGCGGCAGTGGAAGGCGAGGCTCCGGGAAAGGCTGTGGTGGGAGGGTCTTTCTGTGGAGTTAGCATTTCTAATTTGTTTAGAAAAGTGGGGTTTTTCACGCCTTGGGTGCTCTGGGAGTGGTGAGTATGTGTCAGCTGTTTTGACTGAGGTCTCTTCCTGAGGATCCTATGTTCTGAGAGTGGATTGAAAAAGCCTGGCAGCCGCCTTCTTCTCCCCTAAAAATGCTCCCTTCTCCCCCACCTCCTAGGCACTTTGCTCCACAAGCTTGGGAAGGGGACCGCATGATGGGGCGCAGGGGCTTGTCATTGACAGGGGAGCCCCAAGCTCGGGCTGCGGCCGCTGGGGGCCGTGGGCAGGGGTGTGGGCACCTGAGCAGCCCTTCAGCTCGAGCCTCATCTCCAGCGCCTCGTCCGGCCCCAGCCTGACTAAGCGATGGCGAAGTTGGGGTCCTGTGTGGGGCCTGTCCGTTCCGTGAAACCTGGAGGCGGTTCTTGCATGTCGCGGCTTCCAGGAGGCTCTTCCCTGGCAGGTGAAGGGCAGCGACCCTCCGGGGCATGTGACCTCTGGCTCCGTGTAAGCCATCCTGTGTCTGGAGCCTGGAGCTACTTTCTAATTGCCTGTGGTCTGTTCCCCTGTGTGTTCTCCATTCCCCGCTGGACTGAAGTAGCAGTCCTGTGTAAAGTCCCAAGGACTCAGCCCAAGAGCCTGGATCCCTCGCTTGCGCTGAGCTGCTTGACACGGGCTCCTTGGAAGCAGCTGGTTAACCCTGACCTGTAGAATAGTCTCCAGTCTCCTCCCACCCAGGTCCACTGGCCAGGATCTTGGACATGGAGGCTCTCCTGGGCATTTCCAAAACATGGAGGCTCTCCTGGGCATTTCCAAAAAAGACAGACAGATGCAAACAATTGGGTGAAACTGGGACAGTAATGGTAATTCCTTAACATCATTAAATACATGCAATCAGTTACTTAGGCAGGGTGGTGTTTCGGTTCTACGCAAAAGGAAAAAAAGTAATTCTCTTTCTTGGTTAGAAAAAGAAAACTATGTGATGCAGATTCTCAGAGGTGAGGAATGAGAAGTGGGCAGACGGGAAATAGGACTGGCACCGTTACATGATGGTCACAGCTGTGAGATGGGCTGTGATTCTGTGACCCTAGTACGTGGCTCTGGTTAGAAACCAGCGTGAGTGGCACGTGGCGGCCCCTCCCGCCCATGAGGCAGGCCTGGCTTTTGAGGCCACGAGGCGTGTGGCTCTGTCAGCCAGCCCGTGTTCAGCTTGCAGCCCTTCCTGATGGCTGGTTGTGTTGAGTCACGGGAAGTGGGAGGAAGCCAAGCTGCCTTGGTCTCCCTGGAGCGCTGCCCGAACGCTCTGCACCGTGGCCCTGACACCACGTCGTCCCACTGAGCAGCCAAGTGGTGACTCTGTTGGACCCATTATCGGGGGTCAGGGGGCACATGTCAGTGTGGAGGAGGGCTGTCCCCCCTCGAGCTGCTGTCCACTCGTGGGGCTGCTGTCAGGGCTCCGGGTCCCCTTAGCCTGACTGGCTCAGCCACGGAAGCACCCAGCGGGCAGAGATCGGGGACCTCCCTCGGAAGGGCCGGGGGACACTGTGTGGCCTGCACCCCCCTAGTCAAGGACCTGGGGTCCTTCCTGCCAGGCTCAAGGCCAGACCGAAATTAAAACGTTTTCCAAAAAGAAACAAGTGAGCAGCAGAGCCATAAAAGGCTTCCCTCTGTGAAGCCCGCCCTGCCTTTCATTTTGCAGCCGCTGAACAGAGCCATCGGTGATGGGCTTTCCAGCCAGAGCTTGCTGGCTGGCGTTACTATGCTCACCCACGCGGCGGCCCCCCCTTCCAGAATGTCAACGGGACACCAGCTGGGGGCCCACGTGTGGCAGGGGGCAGGGTTTCTGGAGCACAGGTCAGCCACAGAGAAGAGCATTCAGTCACTTGTATGCAACAGGGAGACAGGTGCCGGCCACAGCTCCGGCTCTCCCGTGGCATTCCTGGGCACAGGCCCTTCAGTCTTTGTGGGGTGAAGTTAGAGCTGGGTTGGCAGGGGATGAGGGAGAGGGTTTGATAGGCGAAGCCCAAGGTCACTGTCTGCTCCAGGTCAATGGTGTGGGGTCATCGGGCCGGCTGTCGTTCTTGGGAGCCATCATCAAGTGCAGCCACATTCATTGGCCCCCAGCACACGGGATGGGGGTGCCCCCCCCAACAGCCCCAGCTCTCCTCTGCCCACACAGTCTGCTGGGCAAGCCTGGCCCCCACCCATAGACAGCTGCTGGGGAATGGGAGGACCTGTTTCAATCCACCAACAAGTTGATGAGCCAGCCCCTGAATAATTGAGAATTTGAGATTTTGTTTTATTGCTATTGTCACCATTAGAAATAGCAGCCTGCCCTCATTGTCAAAGAGGTCAACCTGACTAATATTTAACAGATAAAATAAAGCACAGCTTTTTTCCTGGATCTCATTTACGGAAGATTTCACTGAAGAGTTCACTATATTTTACTGGGACCTGGAGCACGCAGTGACTCGGCCTGGGGGATCTGAGTAAGTGCGAGGTTGGCAGCGCTGTCAGAGGCTCCGGGCTTCGGCGCCCCTCCAGTTAGAGCTGGCTATGCTTGCCCGGCGGTGAGGGAGCCCCGGCAGGCACAGCCACCGGGTTTCTGGGTGCTGGGTTTGTTTGTCTTAGAATGAAAGCCTCAGACAGCAGTCATGGAAGCTCTTGCGAGATGAGATTGTTGTTTTCACCTTCATGCAGACCAGCTCCTGGAGAAGGAAAGGGCAAAGGGGTCGGTGGCCTTGGTGCTCTTCACCCTCGGAGGCGGGGGCCGGAGCTGCTGCATCCAAGGGCCAAGCTCAGGGTCCCTGTGGGGCTGCTGTGATGCTGTGGGGCCGGCGCAGCCCTGGGGTCCAGCGGCCCGGGAGCAGGCGGAGGCCATACCTGGTGCGGGCTGGGTCCGCGGGGCCTGTGACCCCGTCTCTCGGAGGTATCCTGGTGGTCCTCGCCTGCATGGCCGCAGGGACTCTGCAGTGAGGCGGAGGCTTGGGGCCCATCTGTGGCTTTCTTCAAGACTCACGTTTCTCTTTCCAGAGAGTGGTTGGTGCTTCTTGTCCCTCGTGGGCCCCATCCTAACGCAGGTCTGAAGCAGGGCTGGCCTCTGATGGCGATCATCCCCCTGATGCTCGGTGGATCTGGACAAAGACTCCCGCTCCTGTGAGCGGCTCGCAGCTGGCCTTTCTCCAGGGCTCTCTGCCCTGAGCACCTGCCCGGTGCCTAGGGGTCTCTGCCCCACCCTGTGGTTCAGAGACTTCCCGGACACTGGCTGCCAGGAGCCCGCGGCCTTCCTAACCTGCGCTTTGCAGAACCCTGGTAGGCAGCACGGTCACAGAGCCACACATGTCAGCCTGATCTCAGTGTTCGCCGACGGGTTTGTGTGCAGCTGCGGGTGGAGAGAATGCGGTGTGGGCGCTCAGCAGAGCGTCTGATAATGAGGAGGGGAATCTGGAATCTGATGCTTTTCCTTCCCAGTGTCCAGCCCCTCAGTGCACCCCTACCCTTTACCCCAAGTCCAGGCTCACTGCCCTTCGGATCACACAGCCTGTGGAAGAGGCTTGCGTGTCCTCCAGGTGTATAGCAGGCACCAGGTTTGGGTTTTTGAGAAAACTCTGGCTGTCACTGCTGAGATGGTGATTGGAGTGGCCAGCAGGCGGGCGCGCCCTCTCTTGGGTGGGCGGTCCAGGTACAGGTGTTAGTTAGGTAACCTTTGAGGACCTGTCTGTCTGGGATTTGACGATCCTCGCACCATTGGCTTCATGTGAAACCTGGGCTCTTGCTGAAGAGCTGAGGGGCCTTCTCGTGGGCAGGGGCGCAGCTCCGCATGGCCGCATCCTGGCTGCCATCTCAGTGCACATCCACTGTCCTGTCCTCTTCCAGCCGCCTTTGGGGACCTTTATCCCCAGAATGCAGTTTTCAGAAGTGGGCTGTAGTCTTTAGTTCCAAGAGTTTTCATTCTGACTGCGTGTGCTCTCACTGGAGCCTGATGAGTCGCGCTCTCCCCTGTGAGACTGTGGCTACACACCCCCCACCCATGGGTGGTCCCTGGGGAGATAACCAGGTTGGATGAGGTGATTTCCACTTACCACCACAAAGGGCCTTTTTTGGCAAGACAGAGCACGGAGTTCCTACTTGTCATCACTGTTAAGTTCTGCTAAAGGTAAAAGTACCTCATTTCAGAAGGGGAGGGTTTGTGTGCCTCAGACACATCATGTCAGCCCAGGCCAGATTCCCACCTGCCTCTCCGCAGACCGACCTCTCAGCTAACATTGCCCTGACGCTGTGTTTTCTCCCCCCGCTTCCCTCGTCACTCTCCTGCCCTCTCCACCTCCGTTTCTGGATGTTTGGAAACTGCAGGACGCTGTTCGGCAACAAGATCAAGTCCGTGGCCAAGAAAGCGTTCTCGGGGCTGGAAGGCTTGGAGCAGCTGTGAGTACCCGGCCAGGCCCCCCCGACCCTAGGCCTGCGGACCCGGTGGCTGGGGAATCCACTGGCAATTCAATCACGTCTTTGTAAACCCAGAAACAGGCTGCTCAGAGATGCCAGCTGCTTCCTTCTAAGTCAGCTTCAACTTTGGCTTTCGTCTTGCCTGTGCCAGCAATGGTTACCGAACATACGGCCTCTTGGGGCTCACAGAAATACCTTCCTCCCTTCCCTTGCCCGGCGCTGACTCGGGCCCTGGGCTCCTTCCACTTCCTTGATGACCCTTCACCTGCCTCAGGCTCAGCCTCCCCTTAAGCAGCTCAGCAGGGCTTAGGGACACAGTGGGCCGAGCCAGGAGCTGGGAGGACAGGGCCAGCCCTGAGGCTGATCAGTGTCACCATCTGATGCCTCTGGTACTGGATTCTTAGTTTGTCTTTAAATCAAATGCAACCTTGATTCTTTTGGAAAAGTTTTCCCTACTGACTTGCTGAGCAGGCCTCAGCTTAGCTTTGATGCTGCCCTTAAGAGTGGCTTATTCCCCAGTTATTCTGTGTGCTTGTGTCAGTATAGGTGAAAGAATAGCCACTTATGGTGGCCTTTGGACAGGACACAGGGGTGTGACCTATTGCCCATGGTTCATCAGCGAAACCAGGACTGTCAGGAAAAATCCCTGAGCATCTTAACTCACACACATGGCTAATCTGAAGGACACCTAGAGTTTCTTTGCCTAAGTAAAGAATGTTGCTTTTCAGTAACCTTGGAGAGAATGCAATCAGATCTGTCCAGTTTGATGCCTTTGTGAAGATGAAGAATCTTAAAGAGCTGTAAGTACCCAGGATTCTGTGGCCCCAGATTAACGTGAGTAGAGGATTTCAGAGTAAGAAGTGCCTTATTTGCAGTAAGCTTCATTTTACCAAACAGTTGTGTGATCATTTATGGGCTTCTGTGGTGGCTTAGGTGGTAAAAAATCCACCTGCAATGCAGGAGACCCAGGTTTGATCCCTGGGTCAGGAAGATCCCCTGGATAAAGGAATGGCAACCCACTCTAGTATTCTTGCCTGGAGAATTCCATGGACAGAGGAGCCTGGCAGGCTGTAGTCCATGGGGTCACAATGAGTCAGACATGACTGAGTGACTAACACTTTACTTTCACACTTGGGATCATTTATAAGTTAAATTGTCTTTTAGGGGAAAAAAATGCCCTTTAGGGGCTTATTCTGAATCAGGGGACAATACCCTTTTTTTACAGGACCTCAGTAAATAGTTTCCACTTTTTGGGCCACAAGAGCTCTGTCATGATAGCTTGATTCTTAAGCAGAAACCAGCCATAGATAATACATAAATGCGTGGGTGTGGCTGTGTGCCAGTAAATTCTTATTTACAGAAACAGGCAGTGGGCCTGCAGGCTGCAGCTGACGACCCACTGCTGTCGATGATGGGAAACAAACTCTCTTCTGTAAAATGGATACTTGTCCCTTTAATTACATCAAGGACAAGTCTCCATCTTTAGGGTGTGCTTACAATGAAGGGCCCTTATCGAGAGGGCTTTCTCTAAGCAGCGGGGTGGACTGTGGACAGGGCAGAACTCCCCGTGGAGTGTCACATGCACTTCGGGATGGAGAGGAGGTGCCCGGCCCCCTTGTGTCTCCAGGGCCTCCGTGGCGTCTGCAGGGGGTGGTGCTGGCACTGCAGTGTGGCCCTGGGGCGACGGGTTAGAAGAGCTTACCCCTGGCAGAGCAGCTCATCTAAGGATGGAGGTGGCAACACCCGAGCTTCCTTTCTTCTTCCTGTACATGTATCTGATTCTTTAGTTCCCTAGAGGTGCAGCTTTGGGTTCTTAAAGTAGCTGACAAAGTCACACGTGCCCATGGCTGTCTTTGCACCCTGAGCTCATCCTCGTTCCTGAGGACCCTCCTGGTGGACCCTCGGTGGGGGCGGGGAGCGGGGAATGGGCCATAGAGAGGCACAGTCTCCATGGTTGGAAAGGAGAGCAGGAAGAGGCCCCAGTGACGTTCCCCTGGGAAGGACGTTGGTGAGGGCAGGCAGGCAGGTGGCACTGGCCTCGTGACGCTCAGTGTCCTGTGAGAGTCCTGTCTGTCAGATCGTGCTGTTTCTCAGAAGGGCCGTGGTCTTAGAACGAGACTTCGTGGAAGGATGGACACGTGGATAGATACATGATAAAGTAAGCATCACAAAGCATTCATTGTAGAATCTAAGTTGTGTTTTCACTGTACATTTCTTCCAGCATTCCTATTTTTTAAACTTTCCAAATATAGTGCTGGAAGTAAAAACAATCTCATTAAAGGGAAGAGGGTGTTTTGAGGGAAGACAGTAGGACAGGGAGAGAAGAATTTCCTCTGGGCCTCTTAAGAACGCGGGCTTCCTTAGGGCTTTCTAGCTGGGAACGACTGGACCCCTCCAGGTGCTTGACTCCGCCCCGGCCCTGCCCCCCAGATGCTGCTTTTGGTTCTGGAGGCTCAGCCTGGGCCCCTGCATGTACCCAGCTGCGGCTGGCCCTGGGCCCAGCCCTCTGATGGGAGAAATGGGTAATCCCACTTGGTCATTTTCTTCCCCCATCGGATCAAGGCAGGTTGAGCCGTGCACTTAGTCATCCTCTGGGTAAATTTCCACAAGCAATGATTAGAAACACACTTGGAGTTGGAGTCATGAAAATGCATGATGGAAGCCAGCAGAGTGCTGGGCTGGCTGCAAGGCAGGAGCCCAGGACGGCTGTGCTTGTTGGCAGCAGGGAGCTGCAGAGTCTTGGGGTCACCAGTGACCCCCCCCAGTCTGGCCTTTCAAGCTAGGCCTGGTCTTGGAGGTGGTGTGTGTGTGTGTGGAAGGGAGGTCAGTGTCCCCGATGTCTGCCTCCATGCCTCTTCTTCTGGCCTGTTACTCCTAAACTCTCTAGGATGGCCTTCTGTCCATCCTGAACACCCACTGTCTCTGAGGTCTCGAGGCTTCCATCTGCAGAGGTTTTAACAGGAGGAGGAGGTGAAATTCTCCAGGAAGCTGGGCCAGCAGATGCCCTGCATGTGTGACGTGAGGTTTAACCCTTCCCAAAAGTATTTCTGATCAGGGAGAAGAGTCAGGTGTGTTTTCTCGTTTGTTTGTGTGGTTCAAATGAAACACACCCCTGTCCCCGACGTGAAGGCCTGAAGGCTCCCAGTGACAGCCAGTGTCTCCCCTAGACGTTCATGTGTGGTGCCCAAGCCTCCCTGTGGGAAGGGGCAGCCACTCCGGATGGCCCCCCAACAGTGGGGAGCCCCTTTCTGCTCTTCACCCGTGCTGAGGAGTTTTCTGGTGTCTCGTGGCACCTCCACAACCACTGTTCTGGGGAGCTCTCCAGATGTGGGATGGGAATTGGCTGTTTCTTCACGCTCAGCTGTGAGGACCCTCCTGGCACCTCTAGGAACCCTCAACAGAGCAACTCTCCAGAAAGCGCTAAGCATAACCCTACCCCATCAAATAGATACAAAACCCAGTGTTGATGTTAAGGTGTAATATGGGCAATATCCCAGTTATCATGGCTCAGATCTCAATTATTTCAGTCTTGAGAAATCACTTCCCCAAATTATTTTAATAAGTGAAGATGCCCAGCTCATCTGGGAAAGGTGAGGAATGGGAGCAAAGAGCAGGCTTTATATAATTTTGTCAGCCGTGGGTTCTCTGCCTTCAGGTTCATCCCGCCTTGCTGTTGACTGATTTAATGGCTTCTCTGCTCATTCAAAGGCTGAGTGACATACAGGAAAATAAAGAAGGGGCTATGGAATATGGGGGGGGGGGGGGGTTAGCGGACAGGTATTGCTCTAAAACTGGCCCATGTGACATTACTGGGATTTCTGAGCATCTCAGCACCCCCTTTTTGTCATCATGTACCTGGGACCATTTATTCCAGGGAAGCCCATGTAATAAGCCCTCTGTCTCCACTCTCGTGGCAGGCTGACCTCCACTCTTGAGCTCATGGCCTGAGGTCTTCCAGGAACAGGGCAGGTCTGCTCCTCGGCTGACTTATCTTCTAGTGACTCCTCAGGAAGGAATGTCCGCTGAGATGGCGATTCCGATTTCTGTTGAAAAAGCTTATCCTTAGTTGCTGAGAAATGAAAAAGAAAATATTCTCTGTTTTGGTTGGAGCCTCACAAAACCCAGCTTGTGCGTTCTCATGCTCCCTGGGCAGTGGCAATTAACTCACAAGCACTATTTAGGGAGCGGAGCCGATTCCTGCCGGCCTCCTGACTAGCGCTGGTGTGGAGATAAATATACAAACAAGAGGGAGCACGCTGGTGAAGCTGACATTTGGACGTAACAAAACCTGCAGCTCCGCCAGATAAAAACACAGCAGTCATATAGGAAAAGAGCCCTTCTCAAGACTTGTTTCGGAATTTAGATCTCACTCTTGGATTGAGCTTGGAAGCTCCAAGTCTGTCTTATAGGAGGGTGGGAAAAAGCATGCCAACCCACTCAGTATTCTTGCCTGGAGAGCCCCACGGACAGAGGAGCCTGGCGTCTGCACTCCATGGGGTCACAAAGAGTGGGACACAGCTGAGTGTCTTAACACACACCGGCCATGCTGTTCCCATCCGGATGGTCAGAGGCCAGGAGGCCGCGCGCCTGGGGCCCCGTGAGAGCGGTGGCTGTCGCAGAGAGAACACGTGCGGCGTCTAGATGGCGGCGCCTGAAGTGTGGGCCTTCGACCAGCAGGGTCAGCGTCACCAGGCGGCTTGCTCGTGACGCGGAATCTAAACCGCCGAGCGAGAAGCTGCTGTTGCTCAGTCTCCAGGTAGACTGTGCGCACAGCTCTAGGTCGCTGGAAGGGAACCGTCAGAGAAAGCATCCCCCACTGGAGCTTGCCGACATGCGCAGCCAGAGCCGGCTGGCGGGGAGGGTCCCTCCTGTGCGGTCACAGCTCACATGGCCCTTCCGTCTCCCTTTCAGCCACATCAGCAGCGACAGCTTCCTGTGTGACTGCCAGCTCAAGTGGCTGCCGCCCTGGCTGCTGGGCAGGACGCTGCAGGGCTTCGTGACGGCCACCTGTGCCCACCCAGAGGCGCTGAAGGGCCGGAGCATCTTCTCCGTGCCGCCGGAGAGTTTCGTGTGTGGTAAGACGGTTTTGGTAATTTGGCGTTTTTCTTTTTTACCAAGGGCACAGAAGCCGGGTGAAACTTCATTACAGGAGGGGCTGCTGTGATGAGAGTCAGCCCAGCCCGTAGTGACCTGTCAGCTGCTGGATACAGTTCATTTCCCACCGAAACCACACGTCATATTTACGGGGCCATCGCCTCATTATGTGGTTGTTGGAGTGCATGCATTTAATCAGGGGAGAGCAGGAGCTGGTTCAGTTACACGGCGAATAATCAGTTACAGGAAGGTGGCTGTGTTGTTTCAGGACGGCGCTGGTGCCCAGGCTTAGCTGCGAATTTACTCAGCGTACGAGGCTGGGGTTTTCCTGTGTGTTTCTTTCCAACCCCAAGAATGAAAGGTTAAATACAGGAAGAATGAGTCTCAGGAGAACAGTTGCTGCAGTAAAAATAATTCCTTCGTGTTGACTTGCACTCTTGCTGCGTCTCCAAAGCACTGGAATCGCACTTGTAGCTTTTTTTCCTTCTGATTGTTGGCATATCGCTCCTGCCATCTTTTTGACGAGGGGTGGTCGGGATCCAGGTTTGGTTGCAGAGAGCACAGAAAATGGTGAGCACCTGAACAGACACACACACGCTCACACGCACATGCACGCAGGCACCATGCAGGGATGACGCAGCCTCGTGGGCAGGAAGATGTAGTCACAGAAAGAGGTGAGCTTCGAGTTGTTGCTGGTACCTGCTCTAGGAGCGGAACTGCCGGGCAGCTGTGCATCCTGCTGCCTCTTGTCCCCCTGGTCTGCCCGGAGCCTTGGGGGTGATGTTCCCAGGAAGGAGCTCCTCACAGCAGGGTCTGGGGACCCCCGTGGTGCACTTCACTCTCTTACTCTTTGGGCACAGCAGTAACCAGTGCGCCTGGGGATGTCAGGATAGAGGCGCCCGCCTTCCACACACCCACCCGCCACCACCTCCACCACTTCTGAGAGCAGGCTTGCCCGCCTGCCTTCTGACCCAGTCCAGCGGTGTGGTAGCAGCCCCCCAAACCAGCCGTCCGTACTGTCGGTGCTTCTCACGAGAACCATGAGCTTGGCTCCCATTCTCTAGGACAGAAGAGCCACATCCTCCATTGTTCTCAGGTTCCTGGTCCCTGACCATTCGGTAGAGCTCCCTGAAATTGCACTTTCTGCCCCCTTCCTCCTCTGTCCCGCTACGGGGCATCACCTCTCCCAGTGAATGCCAGCCGAGGCAGGACTTGGGACATGCTGGGCCCAGTCTCTGGCCTGTGGCCCCGGCAGGTAGGTCCTGGGCTGCGGCAGTCAGGACCCATTTCTCAGAGCCACCTTCACGTTTTCGCTCAGGCTCCCACTCAAATCAATCATCCAGTACTAGTGGGAATCATGGAAACACTGGGCAGAAGATCAGAATTTCAAGCTCTGTGGGAATCTCCCATTCCTTTTTAAGAAAATGGAAATGTAATCACTTCACACCCACTAGGAAAGCTAGAATCAAAGTCAGACACCAACAAGGGTCTGTGAGGACGGGGAGAGCTCCGAAGCTGCCTACCCATCGGGTGGGAATGCAGTATAGTATAGCTATTTTGAAAAACAGCTTTCAGCGTCTCAAACAGTTGAACATAGATACTATATGACCCACCAATTCCACTCCTAGGTAAGTTCCAAAGAGAAACAAAATATATGCCCTCAGCAAAGCATGTACATGAATGTTGATAGCACTATTATTCATACTGGCCAAAAAGTGGAAACCCACATGCCTATCAGTTGATGATGGATAAATAAAATGTGGTATAGGCATACAATTAGGATTATTATTAGGTCATGAAAAGCAAGCTGAGTTTGAAACAAGTCAGTCACAAAAGACCGTATATGATTCCATTCATGTGAAATGTCCAGACTAGGAAAATCTCTAGAGGTAGAAGTAGATTAGTTGGTTTCCTAGGGCTGGGGAGGGGTGGAGGGAGAAGGGATGATAGCTAAAAGATGCAAAGTTTCTTTCTGAGGTGATGAAAATGTTCTTAAAATGGACTGTGATGCAGTTTGCACATACCTGTGAACATACTGAAAACCATCAGTCGTCCACTTTAAATAGGTGGATGGTATTGTAAGAAAGTTGTTTCACTAAAGCTATTTTTTAAGAGAAGTATAATTTACATATAAAATTTACTGCTATAAATAATGTACACAAATTAGTGGTGTTTAGAATATGAAATAGTCATGTAACCCTCACTACTAATTTCACATTTTCATCACCCATAAAAGAAACCCCAAACAGATTAATAACCACTCCTGTTCATCAGGTCTCTAGGATTTACCTATTCTGGATGTTTTGTGTAACTGGAATCCTATATATAGTGTTTTGTGACTAGCCTTTTTCACTTACTGTAGTTTTTTTTCTTTCTCCCTCCCCCACCATGTATCAGTTCTTCATTATTTTTTAAGTGGCTGAATAAATATTCCAGTGCATGGCTATCCATTTATTTAGCCATTCATCAGGTTGTTTTCTACTTCTTGACTACTATAAATAATGCTGCTGTGAAAATTCATGTACAAGTTTTTATGTAAAATCTCTTGGGTTTATACCAGAAATGGAACTGCTGGGCCATATGGCAATTGTATGCTGAACTTTTTGAGGAGCTGCCAAACTGTTTCCCAAAGTGGCTGTACCACTTCACATGCCCCCAAGCAATGCATGAGGAGTCTCGTTTCCCTGTCTTTCTCAACACTTGTCGTTCAGTCACAAAGTTGTGTCTGATTCTTTGTGACCCCATGGACTGCAGCACGCTGGGCTCCGCTGTCCAACACTTGTTACTGCCGTTTCAGTTTTACCTAGACTAGTAGATATTAAGTGGAATCTCACTGTTGTCTTGATTTGCATCCTCCTAATGAGGTTGAGCTTGTTTTCATATGCATATTATCGGACCTATATGTATCTCTGCTTTGGAAAACTGGGTACTCACATCTTCTGCCCATGTTTTAATTGGTCATCTGCCTTTTCAGTGTTAAGTTAGAAGAGTTCATTATGTATTATGGATAGTAAATCCTCAGCAGGATTAAGATACGCCAATATTTTCTACCATTCTATGGGTTAGTTAGGTTTTTAAATTTTGATTGTCTGATTTTTTCTTTTGTCATTTGTATTTTGATGTCATTTTCTAAAAAGCTATTAGCATAGACAAGGTCACAAAGACTTATGCCTATGTTTTCATTTGAGAGTTTCACAATTTTATTAGCTTGTACATAGTCCTCCAGTTTTGGTCTTGTTGAAGATTCTTTTCACTACGGCTCCTGCTGATGTCCCCATAATTTTGTCAATTTATGCAATAGAGATAGCTGAGATTTTGAAACAGGGATTGCATTGAGCCTCTAGATTAATTTCAGGAGTACTGCCATTTTAAGTCTTCGCGGCCTATGAACATATTGTGTGTTTGGGATGTGCCATTACTTCCTGTTTGATCTTCGATGCGCATCACAGGGAAGAAATCTGCACTCTCTCAGGTTATTTCCTGGGCACACGCCTAGTCCTGCACATGCAGGTGGCCTTCTAGGTCCTTCAGAAATGTACTGAACCTCTTCAGAGCCCACTGGTGACATTTCACTCACCCGATTTCCTTTGCAATCTCCTGGCCGCCCTCTTACTGGTTCCAACTGATACACCTGCCTCAGTACTGACTGCTGGTTCTTTTTACCACATGCCCCAGGCCGGGGCTCCCCTTGCTGAGCAGACTGTATCAGGTCAAGTAAACGCAGCTTCTGTGGGTGTGCCCAGCCCGTCCTGCTCGCCTCACTAGTTACTAGGCTTGTGGGGTTTTACTGCTACCATAGAGCTGGGGAGAGAATGGGACTTCAGGTGAGTTATGCCAGAACGGTCACTTTTCTTCAAGTGTTTTCTTGAATCAACACTCCTTGGGTTCTTACATACTAGTTATTTCCTAGGATTCCAAAAAAGCTGATGGCGATGATTTTTGCTAACGTTCTCACTGCTTTAATAGAGGTGCACATTTTCACAAGCCATTACTCTGATGTTCTGGTGGTGGCGGTTTAGTCTCTAAGTCGATACAACTCTTGCGACCCCATGGACTGTAGCCGGCCAGGCTCCTTTCTCCATGGGATTCTCCAGGCAAGAATACTGGAGTGGGCAGCCATCCCCTTCTCCAGGGGATCTTCCCGACCCAGGGATCAAAACCCAGTTCTCCAGCATTGCAGGCAGATTCTTTACCAACTGAGCTACAAGGGAAGTGAGTGATGTTCTGGAGGTACTTCATACCCTGCTCCCTTTGGAGAAAGTTTGAGGGGTGTGGGGGCTCTGCATTCACAGTGGTTCATGATGCTCTGTTTTCTGTGACAGTGAGGTAGCCTTAGGGAAGTTGAGGACTGTTTGATAACTGAGCACCATGGATATGTCTGTAATCGAGGGGTGTGATCATGGAGGGGTCACTGTTCATGGAGCTGCTACTGGATATGGTTAGATAACCACAGTGCATGTCCCTGAGAGTATCTGGTAGAGCTGAGGGTGCTCAGGGACCCGCGGAGGTCTGCGTTTCTTGTTCACGAGAACCGCAGCTGGTCCCCATGTCCTGGAGGGTCCTAGTGCCTTACAGCTGGCTCCCCTCACCCCAGATGACTTGCCAAAGCCCCAGATCATCACCCAGCCAGAGACCATCACAGCCGTGATGGGCAAGGACGTCCGCTTCACCTGTTCGGCCGCCAGCAGCAGCAGCTCCCCGATGACATTCGCCTGGAAGAAGGACAACGAGGCACTGGCCAACGCCGACATGGAGAACTTCGCCCACGTGCGCGCCCAGGACGGGGAGGTGATGGAGTATACCACCGTCCTGCACCTGCGCCGCGTCACCTTCGCGCATGAGGGCCGCTACCAGTGCGTCATCACCAACCACTTCGGCTCCTCCTACTCACACAAGGCCAAGCTCACCGTGCACGGTACGTGCGCCGTCTCTGCACTGCGGGTCGGGTTCCCGCAGAGCCCCACTCGGGACTGCTCTGTCACCCGGCTGGTGATTGAGATGGGAGGCGTCATTCTGTCACACACTGTGGCCTGGCTTGGGCTCAGGAGTAGCAGATTGTAGGGTTATTCTCAGTGAATTCTTTTGGGGTGATTTTTTTTTTAATCCAGTTATTATGTACAGTAGGCTTCCCTTGTGGCTCAGCTGGTAAAGAATCCACCAGCAATGTGGGAGGCCTGGGTTCAATCCCTGGGTTGGGAAGATCTCCTAGAGAAGGGAAAGACTACCCACTCCAGGATTCCGGCCTGGAGAATTCCATGGACTGTATGGTCCATGGGATTGCAAAGAGTCGGACACGACTGAGCAACTTCACCCCACCACCACCACATTGTAGGTAGGACCAAACCTTGTTATTTTTTTTCCCCCCTCACTTATTATCCTCCTCAGCCCAGGATGCCTGGCAGCCAGATTCCAAGTGCACCCCAACACTGGGGAAGCCGCTGCCCTCCAAGGAGACAGCCCAGCATTGGGGCCGGCAGCCAGCCCAGGTGGGGCCAGGCCAGAGAGCCGTGGACCAGTGACCCGGGAGCAGAACGGTCTTGCGGGTATCTGACAAGGATTTTTACTTGGCAGCCAGCTCTGGAGCCTGTCAAGATGACCCCCTTCGGGGGGGCCCCTTCTAGTAGTCAGTTAAGGGTAGAGAGAGAGGTAGTTTGAGCAGTCAGGCTCCCTCAGGGTGACTAAAGCAGGCAGGCAGGTATCAGGCCCTGGCACTTACGGGGTATCCCTATACAGACAGGTCACCACAGGACAGACAGTAGCAATGTTTCAGGGGAGCCTTCCATTGAAGGGGTCCAAGCCAACCTTGTGTGCGCGATGAGAGGGAGTGATAACTGCCGCCCCTGCGGCAGGAGCGGTCAGCAGCGCTCAGAAAGCCCGGCTCCTGGTTCTGGCAGGGGCGGTCCTAGGCGGACGCTGCACAAAGGGCGGTGAGTGTGAGCTGACGCTTGGGAGTGGGGCAGTCAGTCTGACAGAAGCCACTCCTGGCCTCTGCACCCAGCTTCCTACAGACTTGACTCTGTCCGCTCTGCAGTGTTCCCTTCGTTCACCAAAATGCCCCACGACATCGCCATCCGGACCGGCACCACGGCCCGCCTTGAATGTGCTGCCACCGGCCACCCCAACCCCCAGATCGCCTGGCAGAAGGACGGGGGCACAGACTTCCCCGCCGCTCGGGAGCGCCGCATGCACGTCATGCCCGACGACGACGTGTTTTTCATCACGGATGTGAAGATAGACGACATGGGGGTTTACAGCTGCACCGCCCAGAACTCGGCTGGCTCCGTTTCAGCCAACGCCACCCTGACTGTCCTAGGTTGGTACGCTGAGTGTGTGTGAGGGAGAGGTTTTCTCACACATCATAGGGACCTGGAGGCACAGTTCTCAGACTGTCCTGTGAAGCCTGGGGTCGGGGAGTTCAAGAGGCGGTTTTCAAACAAAACAAGCGGTTCCCTCTCTTAAAAAAAGCCATCGGATTAGTCTCCACAGGGCTTAGGTGTAAGGCACTCTGAAGAACTGCCCTCTCCTCAGGCAGGCAGGGTGGGTCAAGAGGGACAGACGTGAGCCTGTCACCAGGTGGTGTGGGAACCACGGGGGTTCTGTGGCTTGAGGTCAGTTCATCCCCAGACAGCACGGCTTAGTCCCTCTGGTAGAAAACCTAGCCACTCTGATAAAAGCTCCCAGATGGACTGCATGACGCGTTTCCAGGGGACAGACCTAGAACAGCCGAGGCCCAGAGAGAAATGGTGAGACCCCCACTTTGTTGCAGAGACCCCGTCCCTGGCGGTGCCACTGGAGGACCGTGTGGTGTCCGTGGGAGAAACGGTGGCCCTGCAGTGCAAGGCGAGCGGCAGCCCTCCGCCCCGCATCACCTGGCTCAAGGGGGACCGGCCCCTCAGCCTCACCGAACGCCACCACTTCACCCCCGGCAACCAGCTGCTGGTCGTTCAGAACGTGGTGGTGGAAGATGCGGGCCGCTACACCTGCGAGATGTCCAACGCCCTGGGCACCGAGCGCGCGCACAGCCAGCTGAGCGTCCTGCCCACCCCGGGCTGCCGGAAGGACGGCACCACCGTGGGCATCTTCACCATCGCCGTGGTGTGCAGCATCGTGCTCACCTCCCTGGTCTGGGTGTGCATCATCTACCAGACCAGGAAGAAGAGTGAGGAGTACAGTGTCACGAACACAGGTGAGCCACCGCAGCCCAGGGGACCGCAGGGAAGAGGAGCGGCCAGGCTGTCTGGGAAGGAGGCCACAGGCTTTTTCGAGACTCAGTGTACTCAAAAGTCTGGATTGTTGGGGAGTGACACCATTTTATCTTTCTCAATGACCGCATTTTATCTTTCGAGAATAGCACATTTTTAATGGGAATACTCTCAATGCAAGTACATTACAAACGGCAGTTTTCTGAGCCGTCGAGCTTTGCTGCTGTGTGGTGGGTTGCTGCTGCAGGGATTTCACCAGGTCGTTTTTCTCTTGGGGCACAATGATGAGAAGGCAGACAGACATCTCTCCCAATCCTGGGTAGTCAGGCTAAGCAGGTGCTAGGAGGGCTTCTCCAGTGCAGACGCCACACAGCGTCTGCACAGCTTTCCAGCGGCTGCCCACGTCTGCTTGTTGTCACCACAGAGGGTCAGGACCCCTGCTGTCTGACCGTCTTGCCTCCCTGCAGATGAAACCATCGTGCCCCCAGACGTCCCGAGCTACCTCTCTTCTCAGGGGACGCTCTCGGACCGACAGGAGACTGCAGTCAGGACGGAAGGTGGCCACCAGGCCAACGGGCATCTGGAGAGCAACGGTAGGGCCTCAGCCTGAGCGCATCCTCTTAAGCACGGGGACCTGTCAGCTTGGGTGACCCAAGTCTGCTGGTGGGTCTTTGGGACTTAACCTGTGCAAGTTCCACAAGGTCTTTGTTGGGTTTACCATCTCCTAACCCGGACAAGGTGGCACTGCCTGCAGTAAGAGCCGCAAAGCACGAGACCGCCCCGTTCTGCTCTTCCAGCCTCTCAGAGTAGGAAGTGCCCAGAGCAATGGGGCAAGACTGCACAGTGGTTTGGAGTGAGTTTATCCAAACCAGAACTGGGTGCTGCAAGGCCGGCCTGGTGTGAAGGCAGGGTTAGAGAAGGGTCCTCGCTGGACCTCTGGGTTATCAGCCCAGGAACAAACCCCTGGGAGGAACCTCCTGACGAGTGTCCCTGTGCTGCTCGCCTTGCCCGTTCTTTGCACCCAGCATCGTCTGAAGCGCTCTGCCCACCTCAGGGAGGGAGTCTAACCGGTGGGAGTCTGTTGCAGGTGTTTGTCCAAGAGACGCAGGCCTCTTTCCCGAGGTGGAAGCTCACGGTGTTATGTGCAGGCAGCCCAAGTTCTGCGTCGGGTTCACCAAGGAGCCCTGGAAAGTGGTGGAGAAGGCTGATGGCCCACCTGGTCCCCAGAAGACAATGGGTATGAGCAGCTTTCCTCAGGAAAGAGTATTTAGCTCTTGAAATCAAAATGAGTTTACCTAGTCGCTACATGAAAGTTGTGGGGGGAGACACATAACTGATGTCAAACTATCTCAGAATTTGGCATTCACTCTATAAAAAGAACCTGGCCATACTTCCTGTTTAAATTCCAGAATAGGATGTCGCTTAAGTAATACTACGGTGGGGTAAGCATGAGTTTAGATTTTTAAGTGACAAATAAAAGAGTTACCTTTTCACCAGGGCCACTCTGACACTGCACAACGCCTCATGCACACTGGATTTTTCACCTGGGATCAGAGAGTAGCAGTTCACAGTCTGATTAAGAAATTCATCTGCAGCATTTCAATGTGGAAGATCTCCGTTCTTCACAAATAGCTTGGTGTTGGCCACAGTCCTTCGTCTGTGAACAGACTTGGGAGGGGAGGCGTTTACAGAGGTGATGAGAGCAGGGCTCAGGCCTTACAGAGTGGCTGATGGTTCCGTCTCATCCACAGAGCGCGGCGGCCCAATGGCGTGCGGTGACTGCAGCGCTGACTCGCACGGTTACTCCAAGGAGCCAGCCGGCCACCTTCAGCCCGGGGACAGCAGCCAGCCGGGAACCCCGAGCAGCCAGGAGCCCAGCCCAAGTGAGCACCCACACTCTCCACTGCATCCGAGCAGGGGGCCCCTCTACCCCAGTAACCACGACAGAATGCGGGCCGCCTTGAAGAAGCCCGTGGTGCCTCTCGATGGGAAAGGTAACGGGGCTTTGTCTTCCGAGGGTCACCAGTCGGGGTGGGGGGAGGTGGGGTGCGCGGCCAGGCTGACGTGGCCTCTCCTTTCTCCCCTCCCTCCCCTCCTAGGGGCATCCTCTTGGACTCTAGCGCGGCTGTGTGAGCCGGACTCCTTAGACCTCCAGCCTTCATCTGTGTTAACTCCAGGCAAGCCTGAGCTCATGGACGCCGCCTCGGGCTCCCCTGACGTGCCCGGTGAAGGCCAGCACTTGCTTCTTTCCAACGGACACCTCCCCCAAGCCTGTGACTCTGGTTCCGAGTCCACGCCCCTGACAGGGCAGCCGCCCGGGAGACGGAACACACCACTGCTGTTTGCACCGAAAAGCTAGGCTTTGTCTACCTCGGCCCTCATGGCGTCTGCAGGAAAGAGAGGTGGGTGAGGCCGCGAGGGAGCCTGGCTTCGGGCATCACTGATTTGTACATAGTTCTCACCTCCACGTAGAGCGGCAAGAGTCTGAAAGGACTTGCAGTAGAAGCACAGAAATGCAAGAGGCTAGTAGCGTGTATAAAAGGTAGAGAAGTATTTGGTACCCTTGTACATAAGAGTTCTCAGAGATGCCATATATATTATATATATCTTTTACAGAGGCTATTTTAATCTTTAGTGCATGGTTAACAGAAACAAAAATCCTACAACGTTGACATTATTATTTTTCATACCTGGTTGCTGTTTAATTTTGGAGGGGGGGGATAGTTCTGGTGCCTTAATGCATGGATGGAGTTCCTTGAAGCTACAAACCACATTTGTTCACAGGAGGGTTTGGTAGGTGGATGGAAAGGAGGCGCTCTGGCATCCCTGGGATGCTTTACCACCAGAGGCTGTGTCTGCAGTGGAAGCAACTTCCTGTGACGGTTGCTTGTGTGGACAGCGTTGCGGGGACCTCCCTGTAGAGCCCGGAGGGGCAGACGTTACATTCCTTCATGGTGAAGGCGTTCTTGTAGGTTTAAGTTCTTTCTCTAACAGGTGGAATATTAATCCATCACAAGCAATCGGTTCCAACAATTAGGATGCCTTTCTTCCTTCTGTGAGAAAGGCAAATGTGGTCTTGTCAGTATCATTCAATGGTCATTTGAGGCTTTTTAATAAGATAGAGGCTGCTGGTGTTGGTACCTGTGGATTTTTCAATAGTGATATTGTAGTTCTGCCGATATAATTAATATTACGTTGGCCTTAGGGGAAAAAAAAATCCGAGTCCTCACTTTTCAGGGCTCATGTCTCTACTGAGGATCCAGAGCAGGCCTGGCCATGTCCTTCCCTCACCCAGATGGCCCCGGGCTTGGACTCTCAGAGATCAGCCCTCCTCCTGGGTATTTTTGCACTTTTTTTTGAGACCTGTTGCTAACCATCTTGTGAGTGCCAATGTGTATTTCAGGAAAAATTACATTGAAACAAGGTCCTTAAAAATCTCAGAAAGCCAAGTTCCTTTAGCCAAAAAGCTGAAGGGGACATATTGATGGAATGGTTACTTACCTATGTTAATCACTGTCAGCTGTCACCACTGTCCCAAAAGGTAAGCACATCTAGAATTCTGTTCTCAACAGTTAACTGATTGTTACTTCCACAAAATATGTGAATTTGCTGCTTCTGAGAGGCAATGTGAAAGAGGAAGTATTACTTTTATGTACAAAGTTATTTATTTATAGAAATTTTGGTACAATGTACATTGAAAAACATGTAAAATATTGAAGTGTCTAACAAATGGCATTGAAGTGTCTTTAATAAAGGTTCATTTATAACATGTTACGTGTGTGGCGGGTTGTTTTTATACCTACATTAACCAGCCGTGCTTCATCCTGTTTAATTCCAGAGACTGCCTTTGTAAGGGAGTCATCCTGCCCTAATTACCCTTTTACTTTTTGAAAAGGAAAAAAAAATTAGTCAAAGCAGAACTATATACTGTTGCTCCAGGGAAGACATGACAGCACTGGATTCCTAAGATTTCTCTCTGAATTTTTCTAACACCTGGAACTTATTAGTCAAGCTCTAGAATGGTGACCTTCTCACTTCATCTCTTCGATTTCCAGTGCTGAGCTTAAAATTCCTAACGGTGAACCGAAGGATGAAACCACTGTGTTTGCAAAGCCAGCCCTGGCCCTTGCTCTGAGTCTGAAATAGGGGGAGAGGTCGGTGACGGCCCAGCTAGTCACTGAGCCGAGACTGGGTTCTCTCTCACAAAACACCACATGAGCAGCTGGACACCTCTCTGTAAAAGAATACAAGTGTTTTTATAGGTGAAATGTGATGGTCATTAAGACCAGCAGCTTGCTTACCCAGCAAGGATGCTTGCCGTGCACCTGTAGTTCATTCTTTTTACACAAAGCTGTAAGCTGATGCAACTGGAATTAACCCGGGGGAAAAACCCACCCACATCCTCAACTTTTTCCGTAAGTCTCCTTCTGGCCATTCTTTTAAAATTGTAACCATCCCTGCCTTTGGCTGACTCCACTATCAGGTGGCAGGAAATGAAAGATCAGATACAGATCAAATGAAGGCTCTGAAAGGGCCTGGACTCAGCATTACCATGCTTATTTATTGAGGGGTTCTGAGAAAAAAACTGTTCAGAGTACCGCTGTGGACATCATTTTCTCTCTCCACTCTGGCAAACGAGCCGATGACGTCACCCCAGCCAGCCTGCAGCGCGGAAGACGCGTCCTCCATGTTGTAACCCGAGCGGGACTGGGCTTCCGCACGGAGTCTCGTCGTTCAGATGGCTGGACAGCTGCTAAATGGAAGGGAAACTCTTCTCACAGCAGGATCCTTTCTTGAAGGCAGGGGCCGTCTCTGATTCAGGGGCTCTCTCTGCCAAGTTCCGACAGAAAGCTGCGTGTTTGGTCATAAGCACCAAGAAAGATGAAACCCCCCAGACTGATGGCTGCCATTCGAGGGAAGACACCTGCAAATAATCTGGTGGGAGGCAAGAGGAAAGATGTTTAAAAAACTGTGTGTGTAAAAAAGGTTAAATTCCAACACCCACAGCTTGCTCAACTTAACACACCACGCTCATTAAACCCCACAGAGCACTTCAGACGTGTGTTTTTACTTTCAGAATGGCACTTACATTCCCGAGTAGACTTGCTGAAGCTGGATCCCAGCTGTCTGTTGGCTAAAGCGGCCGAATACCAAACAGAGCTTACTTGTGAGCACCCACCACTAAGTCCAGCAGTTAGTCCAAACTAACTTGATCCCCACAAGAGTTCTGTTAACAACTTTCACACCATTTCTGTCTTCGAGAGACAATGAAATCGACTTTTTAATAGAGTTGTCAATGACTCCTGAGGAAGGCTGGAGCCCCCCACACCTTAAACCTGATGTGGGCCCTGGGCGTTCAGGGAGATTTCCAGCGACTCTCCTGCTCCCGGTGACTCACTTGGTCCCATTTTGTCCTTAAAACCCGACAAATGTGATGCCACTTGGGGACTCCAATCTCCATGGATCCTGTTTTCTTTCTCCTCTAATGAAGGGCAAGACAGATGGGTTGTTCCAGCTGGGAGGGGAACAGCACCTCATTATGGGTTTTGTCCCCAAGCACTAGGGAAGGCCAGTCACCATCAAAGTTGCAACTTTCGAACAAGCAAAGAAATGCAAAGTAAAAGAACAATGTTACTGGGGTTGTAAGTTGGGCAATCATTGTTTAATACACTCCCAGAGCAACGCACAGTTATTTGTTCAAAGATGGTCATCGTGGTTTCACTGATGAAACAAAAACTGCAAAGAACCTACTCTCAGATTACAGATTCTGTCTGGTACAGGAGACAAACCTGGGAGATTATGCAACTGAAAAATAAGGTCGTGCACAGGGACTCAATGGAAGACAGACAAAATGGGTTCTAAAAGAAGTCCCAGAGCAGTATAATATGACTGCATGTTGGACAAACACGGCCGACATGTGTCCTCAACTTTCTGTGGAGACTTTCCTCGCCTATGTGTCTGTAATAATGGAACCTTTTTACCAACAGTATTACTTGTGTAAGCAGAAAACAAAATTACAAAGTTAGAACTAGTGAATTCACCACTAAAAATACTTTGGATCAGATCTATGAAAATACATAATTATGCCAACAGGAGCCTGGGGCAGCCTTGACAGTCTGGGAAACCTCCATGCTCAGCTGAAGGGAGACTCGCCAAGACCCGGACAGGAAGGAGACCTCACGAAGGCAGCCTAATTCACGGCTGCCCAGCTGCCCCCTTTCTGTCTAACTGCCAGGAGAGGCTGGCTCCCTGCTCCTCAGACAATCCCAACCTAAGCCCTCAGCACTTCTGAGGAAAACAAACTCGACTGGAGTTCTGGGGGTCAGTGATTTAGTTAGCTGAGAATTTAAATCATCAACGAAAATGATACCCAAAATGAGAACCTTTTTCTTGTCCACATGAAAATTCTACAGACGGTGAAAACACATTTGTGAGGGAAAAGCTGTTCAGCTCAGCACCGTGTGAAGTGTTTCTATATGAGGTGTCCCTAAACCTCTGCGTTCAGGCCCCCTGCCCTTCTGACCCGGAGAACAGCGTCACCTGCCATCCCCCACCCTACAAAGGGCCGAGCTGGCCGGGCGGTCGGCAGGGGCCGAGCTGTGGAAACCACATTTGCCACAGAATCCTTCCGCCCTGCCCTGTTTCCACAGCCAGTGTCTCATTCCGCTCCCGCTAATGAGCTCAGCTGCTCCACGCTAGGGGCAGACGGAAGCAGTTTATGGCTTCACTAGATGACAACTGAGTCTGTTAACATCATTACAGCTTTAACGTAGAGTAATCTGTCCAGTAAGCGCCCCAACCAGACTCAGACACAAGCTGGCGCAGAGCGGAGCCTCACCGGAGGGAGCCCGCGGGAGACACGACACGGGGCGCCACGCGAGGGCCGAGGGGCAGCGGCGGCGCGCGCGGGAGGGCGCAGGAGAGGAAAGCAGAAGGCCAGGAGGCGAGCGGGAGGACGGAGCAGGATAAACAGGCTCCCGTCTGCTTTCGGCCCACTGGGCTGCATGAGCGTGTGGTATTTTTATTTGAGAAACCAATTTGCCCAAGGGCACATCTCCCAGATCTGTGCCAGAACATGGTTTCCCCCCGCCCTCCCCGGAGTGACCCAAGCGCGTCACTGCTTTAACGGATGCGAGGAGCTCAGCACCAGCCCCGAGCGGGGCTTGGGCTGTGGGGGGTGTGCACGTGTACACGAGGCGCGAGGCTGTACCTGCGAGGTAGCTGGAACCCTCTGCAAAGCCGGCAGGCATGTTCCAGGACCACCAGGAGCCCCCGGGGCCTCTGCGTCAAGGACAGAGGAAGCAGCAGAAGCCTAGGCTCACTGCTCAGAACAGCTGCCCGCGTTGGCAGGGCCTTTGCCTCTTTGCCTTTTGTTACAGTTCCCTTGTCCAATTATTTGTCTCCTATCACATTAATGAGAAGCTAATGAACACTCAGCTAAGGACCGCACTGGGCATACCAATGGGAGCCCAAGACTCAAGAAGCTTCTGGAAGGTGAGATCCCTTCACACGTCTGACAGCAGGGGCAGGGACAGGCCCTCGACATGAGGATGATGCCCTGTCTCTGCCTGCGATTCTGGCATGGCCCCATGAGGCAGCACCCAGTGACACCACCGCCGGGACAGGCGAGGTTAAGTTTTGATCATCTCGGGGAAATCCCACCTCCGCGAGCTTCTGGTTCCACGGTCCTGCCAACAAGGCCACCCCCACAAACATCACCACCTTCCTAGAAAAGGCAGGCAGGCTACAGCCCCACTCAGACTCCACAGGGCTAAGGTCTAGGGCAGAGGTTTGACCAATAGTTGCCAGAGCCTCTTTAAGAATGATATTAAAACAACATAAATCACAGCAGGATCCTCTATGACCCACATCCCAGAATTTTAGAAACAAAAGCAAAAATAAACAAATGGGACCTAATGAAACTTAAAAGCTTTTGCACAACAAAGGAAACTATAAGCAAGGTGAAAAGACAGCCCTCAGATTGGGAGAAAATAATAGCAAACGAAGCAACAGACAAAGGATTAATCTCAAAAATATACAAGCAACTCCTCCAGCTCAACTCCAGAAAAATAAATGACCCAATCAAAAAATGGGCCAAAGAACTAAACAGACATTTCTCCAAGGAAGACATACAGATGGCTAACAAACACATGAAAAGATGCTCAACATCACTCATTATCAGAGAAATGCAAATCAAAACCACAATGAGGTACCATTACACGCCAGTCAGGATGGCTGCTATCCAAAAGTCTACAAGCAATAAATGCTGGAGAGGGTGTGGAGAAAAGGGAACCCTCTTACACTGTTGGTGGGAATGCAAATTAGTACAGCCACTATGGAAAACAGTGTGGAGATTTCTTAAAAAGCTGGAAATAGAACTGCCATATGACCCAGCAATCCCACTTCTGGGCATACACACCGAGGAAACCAGATCTGAAAGAGACACGTGCACCCCAATGTTCATCGCAGCACTGTTTATAATAGCCAGGACATGGAAGCAACCCAGATGCCCATCAGCAGACGAATGGATGAGGAAGCTGTGGTACATATACACCATGGAATATTACTCAGCCATTAAAAAGAATTCATTTGAATCAGTTCTAATGAGATGGATGAAACTGGAGCCCATTATACAGAGCGAAGTAAGCCAGAAAGATAAAGACCATTACAGTATACTAACACATATATATGGAATTTAGAAAGATGGTAACGATAACCCTATATGCAAAACAGAAAAAGAGACTCAGATGTATAGAACAGACTTGTGGACTCTGTGGGAGAAGGCGAGGGTGGGATGTTTCAAGAGAACAGCATCGAAACATGTATATTATCTAGGGTGAAACAGATCACCAGCCCAGGTTGGATGCATGAGACAAGTGCTCGGGCCTGGTGCACTGGGAAGACCCAGAGGGATCGGGTGGAGAGGGAGGTGGGAGGGGGGACCGGGATGGGGAATACATGTAAATCCATGGCTAATTCATTTCAATGTATGACAAAAACCACTGCAATGTTGTAAAGTAATTAGCCTCCAACAAATAAAAATAAATGGAAGAGGAAAAAAAAAAAGAATGATATTAAAACAAATGAGTAAAATTCGGCAGTCTGACATGATAACCTAAAAAAGCTACTGCAGGCAACACCTCTGTGTGGCCCAGTCATTATTTGAAGCTCTAAGAACCTTTTCTGGGCTACTTCATAGCTCTTTTTCTCCCCTCTCACACCATTTCTTTCTTCAAGAGGAACTGACATCAAAATCAAAGTGTCTCAACTATGAGCAACCAGATTCCTACTTCCTCACCATCGATTAGCTGTGCGTCACTGACTCAGGACAGGTGAGCTACCACCCTGCCCTCCCAGGCTCACCACCACTCTGGTGAACCCAGCCCCAGTCTCCATACCTCGTGTCCTACAGGCACGCGGCATCCGCTGGGAGGCGGCACAGTCAGTGAAGCTACACACCATTAGCTGTTTTGAATAGAGGATGGGGCTGTTCTGCAAAATACCCTTGCCTGGGCCTGGCTAACCTGCACCAGGTTCTCCAGACTGTCAACGAGCTGCAATAAAACCTGCCAAATGGACACAAACTAGTCAACTGATGGACGTGGCTCTGGGACGAGGAGGGGGCACTACTGTGGCTGGGCTGTGTCATACCAGCCTTGTCCCCAGGCTCCCTCAACCTTCCCTGAAAGGAGGCTGGGCTCTCAGGAAAATCCCTGGAGATGATGCCAGAGAGAATCATGATTTCACCCATCTGCACAGATCCCAACCTTTAGACGGCTTTGGTGCTTAGTCACTTAGCTGTGTCCCATGGACTGTAGCCTGCCAGCCTCCCCTGTGCATGGATTTCCCAGGCAAGAATACTGGAGTGAGCAGCCATTTCCTTCTCCAGAGGATCTTCCTAACTCAGGTATTAAGCCCGTGTCTCCTGCATTGCAGGCAGATTCCTTACTGCTGAGCCACCAGGGAAGCGCTTGAACAGGTTTACATGTTGTAAAAGCAGTAGTACTGAAATAATATTTTAAAGAAAGCTTTGTGGGACACTACGCTAGAGTATGAAGCACTCGGCTGACGATACAAAGCTGTGGGCTTCAAGGGAGGTGTCACGCACTGTGCTATATTGAAGGTGATAACTAAGATAGGTAGAAACCACAAATGCTGTCTTCTAACAACGCTACCTTCGTCACTCGGGTCCTGCCTTACACAAGCGGACGCTGGCTTTCTCACTGCTGCAGCCCAGAACCCAGCAGGGGCCACACACACGGACATCACCTGACATCGGGATGGGACCCACCGGCTACAGCACTGCGTCAGCTCGACTGTGTAAGCAGCACCTCACACACGTAACATCAGACATAACGTCTTCCACGATCAGGACGAGCGGAAGAAGAAGGGTGGGTGTGCCCGACACGGCTAGAGGAGGAGGAGGGTGGAGAGGCCTCCCCCCGGCCTTACCCCGACAGCCCCTGTGTCCACCAAACTGCGTGCAAGGCAGAGAGGATATTCCCACTTGCGGTGCTGGAACCAGCCTGCAAGGAAAGACAGAGCGAAGACATCATCTCACAAAATTCCCCAAGCCACTTACAGCTGGCCCCCCAACACCCTCACCTGGGACAGTTTCAGGCAGGCTGGGGAGGCCCTAGGGAATCAGCTCCCTGGCTCTCCCTGGACTAGCAGCCCTCACATCCGAAGCTGCCAGCAAGCACTGATCTGGCCCAAATCCCACCCGAAGCAGCTTTTCTAGGTGAGTTCTCTCACCATCAACCGATGAGCAGAACTTTCCCGAACAATTCACAGACTGCTACTAACCAGGAAAAAGATGGGAAGTGGTATAATTGATCTGAGAAGGATGGAGGGTAATCAGTATAATGGCATTATGAAACTTCTCTAAGTGGCTAATGCACACATTTGATAAAGAACACTACGTTCTGTTTAAAACTGGCTTTGCCCTATGAAGCTTCATATTACGATTCTGTCTTTATTCCACTTTTCCACAAGGGCATGACCTTTCAGAATCACCGTTTTGGTTCAGATATGTCCTGTGGACTTCTCTGAAGTCTTAATGCAGTTTTTTTAAAGATAATTTTTCTTCATGTCATTTGTTGACAGTTCTGAAAACTGTCCTAGTTCATCTGGTGAAAGCTTAATAAGCATGATCTGAGTTCAGAACTTCAGACTTGCTGCCTGGCGTGAAGCAGGCCAGCTCTCTGAGCCTCAGGACCGTCACCAGTAAAAACAAGGAGTTTCTGAAAACAGTATTGCCAGCCAGAGGCCCTACCATCCCCACCTGTTCACGTAAGACGGAGGAAAATCATGTCAAAAAGACAGCCGTCACAGCGATTCCTGTGATAGTGCTTTGTGCAAAGGCAGTTCCATTCGTGACTCAACAGGCAGCGTAAGGCTGCTGACACACAGGTATCACGCCACCTTTGTTCACTTTATATACATATAAGCCCTGGCCCTAATGGAGACAAGCGTCTGTTGTGTCCGATACCTTATTTTACCACTTACCTTTGCCAACATGATTCTTGTTTTGGCCACGTCCAGAGGCGTGGTGACTGCAGCTGCAAAGCCACCTGTGCACATAAACACACACAACACACAAGCAAGGCACTATTTACCACGCTGCATGGCATTTTATAATTTTTACTCCAGAATTCCTCGCAACTCTGCCAAAAATACTTCTTTATCGTTACATCCACTTGACTGATTCAAGAATAGGACACACACATGCCACGTCTTTACCCGCACGCTCTGCTGCTATCACAGAGGTGACGGGACAACGTTTTATACGCTCAAGTTTAAAAAAAGGCCCCACAACGTATCCTGCTCTCCTGTGAAGCAGCGCACAAACCTTTGGGTGGATGTGGGGTATCTGTGGTCAGCCCCCGCCCGTCTGAGAGGCACTGCGGCGCCCCATGAGCTCAGGCGGTCCATGCCTTTCACGGGCCTATGTTCTCTAATCCGACTCCAAAACGCTGCTATGGTTTCTGCTCTTAGGCAAAACTGGCAAAGAGAAACATGTGTATTGCTGTGGGAAATTTTGGTATACATGGCTGGGTTTTTAACGGTTAAGAGAGTACATTTTTCTGTATTTCCAGACTTCTGATCAACAGGACAGCTAGAGTCACAAGATTTCTAAACTCATTTCTTGTTAGAGTCAGTCTTGATTCAAGCCCGAGTTCTTCCTTATGGCTCTGTCCTCTTTATTTAAATTCTGTGACTGCCAAATGGATCTTTAAAAAAATCTACATATTTTAAAGGGGTCTGTATGTACACACAGAGGAAGTGGAAGACTTTTTCTTTTTTCTTTTAATAGAAATCATAGTATCTGGTATCAATATTTTATTCAATATGCTACAGAGATATTGCAGATCCCCAAAGTCCCAAAAAAGACTGAAACAGTAAGCCCAAAAGGGATTTCTAAAGATTCAGCTTCCATGACCACAGTGAAATTGGACAGTTTTCTAAGAGCTGAACACAACACATGTGTGAAGGATGCTCCAGAAATAGCAGCCTCTCCCTCTAAGTTCTGGGTTGTGTGGACAAGGAGGTCATCTGATCTCTGCCAAATATCTTTCTAAATATGTTGCTGAAATAAGATCATTAAACTGAACCTCCTCCATTTGGTAACATTATGTTATTTATTATGAGGCTGACTTCTTGAAAGATATACTCAGAAGGGCACAAATTTAGGGCTAAAGAGTAAAACCAGAAACATGCATACTAAGTTGCCTTTTATTTTAGCCACCTCTGAGTTATGAATGTGAAATGTTTTCCTCCCAATTCAAAAGTTGCCTGAAATTCAGAAACCTGCTAAACTGCAAGTATTTTTAAAATTCTGTGGACTCAATCCTCAAACACTATTCTCTTTTTTAAATCACTTAACCTTTACTCTGCCTTTGATACTCGAAGTCACATGTATCTTGGCTCCAAAAGTACTACTGTTTCATTACACAATGACTTTGATATAAGACAAACACAAATTTGTCCAGTTGTTTAAATTCCTAGGTGCATAACCATTTTCCTGTTTGAAAATGTTTCAAACTGACCTAAACCAACTAAAAAGGCTTAAAAATTGACAAGGACATCATCAGTCCTCCATCTGACCACTCAAGCTCTCACGAATCACCCGTGTTGAAAAGTATTTGTCTTCTACTAAATTTGGATACTGTAAATTGAACTTATTTTGGCCATTAGCGAAGTTCATTATTCCTTTACTATAGGTGCCTGCCAATATTCTTCCAGTGATTTGTTTCCTGAAAGTAATATAAAGAAAAGTGAGACAAAAACATATGCTGAAATAGGTCCTAATTTTACTACCATGAAGGAAACTTTATTTTATGAAAGTTATTAATGTCAATTTAAATGTCTTCAAATATCAAAGACTGCTTTAATTCACAGACCTCACAGTGTTTTTTTTATGAGGCTGTAAGAAGGACTTGTGAAGATCATGTAACAGAATAACCGGTCATAATGGGGAGGGAGCAGGGGAGCTGTATTTTCAGTTAAAATGCAGTTATTTTCTACATTTTACTTAAGGGAACTGTAAACCTCTGGTAATAAATACAAGGAACATGCTAGCGTATTAGACAGGAAATAATTATTTGGTATAGCAACTGCAGGCCATGTTAGTATTCAAATCACATGTGAAACAATTTTCTATGTGTTCCACTAGAGACAGGTTTGTCCTTAATGTTAGGCTAACTGCTTCCAAGAACCAGATTCAGGGGAAATTAGATTTTTACAGTGAAACAGCATCTCACGTGTCCTCAGGGTTCTCTCCCCTCCAGACAAAGGGGCCACCTGCCTACAGTAAGTCTGGAGCTGTCACCTCCAACATCTGCTGGGAGTGTGGAGGCGGGGCACAGCGGTGGGGGGCTGCCACGCACTGCCCCCCACTCACTAGCTGGGAGCAGGAAGAGCTGCTCCAGCGGAGAGCCCCGAACAAATGGGGCTTCAACAACAACAATGGCAACAAACGTGTTTCCATTTCTTTCAGACTGTATCGGGCCCTGTCATTTGTTACCCAGATAATCCTTCACCCTGTTACAGAATTTCAAGCCATGGCTTTCCTTCCTTCTCCCAGAGAGTGTAAGTGTTCATTACAGGAAATGAATCAAAGAACATCAGAACAGCAAATGTCACCATACAGCAGATGTCATAATTGTACAGACTGGATGGTGGTTTTATGTTTAGGAGTTAACTTGAAGTGAGGAAGCTGGCAACAGTTCCAAAGATCATTTTTTCCCCCTAATTTAACCCCTGACCAGAGGCCAAGGGAATTTTTAAGCATGACAAGCCATCAACACCTCCAATCTCAAGGGACATTTTTGGATATTTGTGCCAAGTGGTTCATAAAGCAAGCATGGGCACCAAACAGCCCAAGGATGACCAGAGAGAGCTTTGTCTATGACAATTTAATCAGCTTAAACTCGGAAAAGCACACAGGGATGAGAAATAAGATTTCTGGTTTAAGTGCAAGTTTTATCATTGCCTTTATGGCCATCTAAGGCGAAAACATCTGAAAAGTGCAGCGGGTAACCGTGCCAGAACTTACGGGCTGCCCAATGTGACAAGTCGGGACTCATGTCTCTATACTGTGTAGTACACAATCTTGCAGCAAATTCTTACAGAATATCACTTTTCCACAATGTCAAGTATTTTCCAATTATGCTTATCTTTTAGAAAAGTTTTTAAACAGTAACCTTATTCCTCAGGGTCAATATTGGCACCAACTAAAATTTCAAAACAAGGAATGTAAACAAGAAACCTATTTAACTTTGTCTTCTGTTAAAGACATGTACATCTACTGACAATTTTCTGCAGACCTTGGGCAAATTCCTATCAGACGTCAGCTGAAAAAATAAGATAATTGTCTTGGAGGAGCTTTTAAATCTATACCCGAGTAGCGGCAATGATTAGGTATACTAAATTTATTAATGTGCTTTTTCCCCCCATGCAGTTAAGAATTACTATGATGACGACAGCTTTTCATTTCCTGGGTGTTAGCTGTTTTTACTGCAATAGTAGTGATTCTTTAAATGTAGTTCTACAGACTACCGAACACTAACACGCTATGCAGGGGCTTCCCAGGTAGCTGAGTGGTAAAGAATCTACCTGCCAATGCAGGAGATGCATGTTCAATCCCTCGGCCAGGAGGATCCCCTAGAGAAGGGAGTGTTCTTGCCTGGAGAATCCCATGGACAGAGGAGCCTGGCAGGCTATACAGTCTATGGGGTCACGAAAGAGTCAGACCCAACCTAGGGACTAAACAACAACAACACACACTATCAGCTACCCCAGAAACAACCTCTTCACGGAGGGACAGTTGCTTCTAGGTCACAGGTAAGGAAACTGGTGCCTAGCAAGGCCCCGGAGTCTCCTTCCCCAGCTGCGGACAGAACAGAGGTCTGACAGCTCTGTGACTCGGACAGGTCAGCCAGCACTGGAGGCTGCAGCTCTGGGCGAATCCACTGGCTGCGCCGATCCCAGCTTCCCCACTGACCCAGACAGTGGATACTGGTGATGCAGGAAGCAGACAGCCCACGTCTCCCCGACCCAGGGTCAAGTGACTGGAGACTCACTCTCTGTGGACTGAAACTCCAGGGTGACAGCAGCAGGATGGGAGGCCGAGCCCGGCCCAAATCACAGATTTCTCATTCTCCAAGTCAGGCGACCTCCCCAACCACACATGTGCAGAAAAGGTCTTGGCGATCAAAGGGGAGTGACATTAAGAGATACTCCACGCATAAACCTCTGCAGTAGAATCCATCTTGGCTAACAGACATGTGCGCACACACAGAAGAATCCTGAGATACACCAAATATGGGCTATGAACCGGGCGAACCATAATGACTAGCCAAAGGAAAGCTGGAAGAGATGCCTCACTATAGTAACTCGCACTGCCCCGAGGGCACAACTCAGGGACCCTTTCTCTAAGCTTGCCTGTGGGGGTTTCTGTCCACACGTACTGTACCCTTTTTCCACCTAATAGAAACTTCACTTCCCATCTCTGTGGGAATTTTTTTCCTGCAAAGTTGAAAAGCCAGGGTCTTGTCACTGACCACTGTCTACTGGCTAAGATTTAGTGCTCTCTCCGCCATGACCGGTCCTCAATCTCTGGCCGGGACCGAAGCCCTGCTTCAAGTGGCTGCCAGCCGAGACCCCCGAGATCACTGATACCAAGTTTCTCCCCCTTCTGCCGCACCCCCACCTCCTGCCACCTCTGACTAAACTAAATGCTTACTGTCTATCATCAATGCTTCTCACAAAAAGGAGCTGTAATGAACACACATGTCCTTAAAAGGAATGATTATATTTGCAAGTATATCTTTGAATTAGCTCCTTAAACAAAGAGACCAGAAAAAAATATATATTTGTTTTAACACATGGGCATTTTATAGTATGTTCATTTTAAGAAGTGGCCTTCCTTAACCAGTATGACTCAATTTCCAGAATGCTCACTTTGCCCCCAGGCCCCAGAGGGGGTCCACAGACAGAACCTCATAGGTACCAGGGAGTAAGGACTCCTGACCACTGGCAAACGAATCAAGACCACCTACCCACTTAACACAGCTGAGGACATGGATCATGTGGAAACAATCACCCGTCATAATCAATCCGAGCTGGTTTTGTATCTACAGGCAATAGTCTTATTTTGGATTATCAATTCTACAAGTCAGAAGGGTCCAATTATTACTACAGGATCCTATTAAAATGCATGTTTTCTGTTTTCCTGATCACTATAACAAAAAGCCCATCCGACAACCATTAAAACAAATCGGAAATGAATTTTTTTTTTTTTCCCACTAAAGCTGGTATCCTAAGCCCATGTATCTGTCACTTTATGGGGTCTGCATCAAAACCAGCAGTTTATAGTTTTCTGGCCAATCTCCGTTTCAATTTATTTCAACTGTAATTCTCACTTACCTTTATTTCCAACAACAAAATGCCTTTCTCTCTCAGACTGTTACACCTCTCACTTACTAAATTGTTTCCAGTTTCTGCGTTCTCCCTAAAACCTCACTGGAAATGCGTATGATCAAGTGATAGATAGCACGACAGTGCATATTGTCACTCTGCTCTTTGTTTAATATCTAGAAAGACGCCCAGATGTTTAGACCTCCGTATTTTCTACACCGTGCAGTTTAGCCTTCGGTAAGTTGTGGAGCAGCCTCTGCCGTCCTGACAATAGTTAATCTACAAGTCTGTCAAACATGTCACACGGACCGTGAATCACTGCCTCCTGCAGAATTTGCTGAAACCCCCCAAGAAGTGCTCGAGGCAGACAGCTGCACTGGAAGCCCTGCACCCACAGCTAGGCTCTTCGCAGAGAGGCCTTGCTAAATCATCTTCAAGATAATCCAAGGGCCTGAGTGAAGGCTTTAATAAAAAGAAAATGAAAAATTTGTCAAAAACAAATTGGCTGTCTTTCAGGCAGACACCTTTTTAGCAGGAGTCCCCCCACAACACCCACCCAGACACTCTTTTCTCAAACTAGTGGAACTCTCTTCTTCTAAACAATCTGGAATTTCTGAAGAATGTTGTTTTTGCATAGTTAATATTTTCACATTTTTCTCCCCCTCCTTGGTCTTTCCCAGTATAATATAATCCTTTGCACCTGCAAAAGCTCCACAGACTGCTGACTGCCAAGAATTCACCACATGATCTTGCCGCCAGGACCAGAGGGCCTGTGGTAAAGGAGAAAGAAAAATACAAGTTATTAAATATTTGAATTTATCAGAACCTCCTGTGGGTTAGCTCTGGGGATGGGAACTTAAGTGAGAAGCTATTTTGGTGGCATTCCTCACTGATGACATAAGTGATTTTCCCAAGGACTTAATGACCTTCTAAAATAAGTCAAAGAAACCAGGGGGACAGGGACATTAGCATGCCCAAAGGAAACCATTTTCTGGGAATACGTGTCATACACATACACATATAAACACATTTATATATAGGTATAAAAATAAAGACATCTTTAAGACAATGTAACATTTAAAATATTTCCTGTATAATTCTAAACATGAATAGAACAGACTTGTGGACTCTGGGAGAAGGCGAGGGTGGGATGTTTCAAGAGAACAGCATTGAAACATGTATATTATCTAGGGTGAAACAGATCACCAGCCCAGGTTGGATGCATGAGACAAGTGCTCGGGCCTGGTGCACTGGGAAGACCCAGAGGGATCGGGTGGAGAGGGAGGTGGGAGGGGGGACCGGGATGGGGAATACATGTAAATCCATGGCTAATTCATTTCAATGTATGACAAAAACCACTGCAATGATGTAAAGTAATTAGCCTCCAACTAATAAAAATAAAGGGAAAAAAAAAAAAGAAATTAAAAAAAAAAAATACCATAATACACAAATTATTCCAAAGCAGTGTATACCAAATTCCACAGTTCTGTTTTCAATCTTTATCCATGCTGTACATGTTTGAAGGACGCTGATTCTATTACTAAACAATGTAAAGTCCCTCAAAATGTTTTCACACTGCTCTGTGTAATATGTGTAACATAAAAAACTAGACAAGATGATGGCAGGGGTGTGGTGCCTTGCTTGCTGAGAGTTTACGATACACTAGAAAATGAGATACAGTCATTTCAAATGGTGAAGAGCTCTGAGTCAGGCCCTGGTTCAGCCTCTGAACACATATCAAAACCCAAGACGTCCCTGGTGATCCAATGGTTAACAATCTGCTTTGTGCTGCAGGGGACGTGGGTTTGATCCCTAGTCAGGGAACTAAGATCCTACCTGCCCCACAGAGTATCTAATCCCACATGCCATGACTAGACAATCCATGGGAAAGATCTCCACATGACAAAACGAAGACCCAATACAGCTAAATAAATATTAAAAAACAAAACAAAACAAACAAATGTACAAAAAAAACCCAAAACACCCACAGCCCTCGTTTCATCCAGGCCAACAGCAGAGCCTGCACTATTTGTTTTTCGCTTTCTTGAGGTATAAATGATACCCAGTAAACTACATGTATTTAAAGTAGGTGATACAGTAACTTCTGATACACATATGAAACCATCGCCATGATTAGATAATGAACATATCCATCACCCCAAAAAGCTTTGTTGTCCCTTTGTCATCCCCCTTTCCTGCCCTTCCTGACCAAACCTTAAACAATCTGATCGATCCCTGTAGATTAGTTTGCCTTTCCTGGAATTTTATATAAATGTAATTATATATTAACTTTTTAACTCAAATTCTTTCCTTCAGATTTTTTGTACGATTTGCTCATGATAATGTGGATATGAATCATTTGTTCCTTTTTATTGGTTAAATAATAGTCCATTGTATAGATGTATCATGATTTGTCTATGTATCTGCCTGTTGATGGACCTTTACGATTTTTCCAGTTTGGGGCTACTACTAATAAAACTGTTATGAACATTTATATTTATGACTTCATATGTACACATGCCTTCATTTCTCTTGGAAAAATATCCAGGAGTGAAATAACTGAACTACATGGCAGACGTATGTAGGTATACTTTTTAAGAAACTATCTAATTGTTTCAGAAACTGTTGTACCATTTTACATTTAGACCAGTTTCTTTACATCTTTTCCAATATCTGGTACTGTCAGTATTTTTAATATTTTACCATTTTAATTCATATGCAGTAGTATTTCATTGTGGTTTCAATATGTATTTCCCTAATAATGCTGAGTTCCTTTTCATGTACTTTTTTTTTTAACCATCCATAAAATATCTTCTTTATGAAGTGTCTGTTCAAATGTTTTACACATTTTTATTGGGTTGTCTGTTTTGTAATTACTGAGTTTTGACAGCTCTTTCTTAATTACTGCCTTTTATTTTTCTTGCCTTACTGAACTGCTTGTGGCTTCTAGCATAATGGCAAGTACCGCAATAAGGACAAAGAATATTAGAAATAAGACCTCTTGAATAGATTCATTACAATGGTTAGAATGGTATATATAATATCCTGTCAATGGTGATGTGACATTTTCATAGGTGATCAAATATACCACAACTAACAAATGGGACCTATTTAAACTTAAAAGCTTTTGCATAGCAAAGGAAACCCTCAACAAGATGAAAAGACAACCCTCACAATGGGAAAAAATACTTGCAAATGAAGGAACAGACAAAGGATTAATCTCCAAAATACAGAAGCAGTTCATTCAGCTCTATATCAAAAATAATAATAATAATAATAATAACCCAATAAAAAAATGGGCACAAAGCCTAAACAGAAATTTTTCCAAAGAAGATGTATGGATGGCCAATGGACATGAAAAGATGCTCACCACTGCTCATTATTAGAGAAATGCAAGCCAAACTACCATGAGATACCGTCAAAAAATCTACAAACCTGGACTTCCATGGTGATACAGTGGCTAAGAACTCCCTTCCCAACGCAGAGTACATGGCTTTGGATCCCACATGCCTTGGAGCAACTAAGGCCATGTGCCACAACTACTCAGCCAGAGTTCTGCAACTAATGGAGCCTGTGGACCCAGAAGCTATGATCCACAGCGAGAGAGGCCACCACAGTGAGAAGCCCGTGTACCGCGACTAGAGAGTGGCCATAATGGAGCCTGTGGACCCAGAAGCTATGATCCACAGCGAGAGAGGCCACCACAGTGAGAAGCCCCTGTACCTGAAGAGTAGCCCCTGCTCACTGAAATGAGAGAAAGACCACTCGCAGCAACAAAGACTCATAGCAACTGAAAATAAAATTAAACAAATAAACTACTTCAAAATTAAAAATCTACAAATCTCTAAGTGCTGCAAAGGATACGGAGAAAAGGGAACCCTCTTGCAGTATTGGTGGGAATGTAAATTCATACAGCCACTGTGGAGAACAGTATGGAGGTTCCTTAAAATGTTAAAACCAGAACTACCAGCAGTCCTACTATTTGGGTACCATCCACAACCCAGTGTTCACTGTAGCGCTATTTACAATACCTAAAGACCTGGAAGCAACCTAAATGTCCATCCATAGATAAAGATGTGGTACAAATATAGAACAGAACATTGCTGTTTAGTTGCTAAGTTGTGTCTGACTCTCCAACTCCGGAAGGAACAAAGATGCTGAGCCAAAGGGGAAACAATGCCCAGCTGAGGATGTGTCTGGTGGTGAAAGCCAAGTCTGATGCTGGCAAGAACAGTACTGTATAGAACCTGCAGAGTTATGTCCACGAAACAAGGCAAATGGAAGTGGTCAGAAAGGAGATGGCAAGAGTGAACCATCAGCATTTCAGCAATCACTGAACTAAAATGGACAGGAATGAGTGAATTTAATTCACATGACCATTATATCTATGATTGTAGGCAAGAATCTCTTAGAAGAAATGGACTAGTCCTTGTAGTCAACAACAGAGTCCGAAATGCAGTACTTGGGTGCAAACTCAAAAATGACAGAATGATCTCTGTTCATTTCCAAGGCAAATCATTCAATATCACATAATTCAAGTCTAGGCCCCAAACACTAATGACAAAGAAGCTGAAGTCGAATGGTTTTATGACCTACAAGACCTTCTAGAACTAACACCAAAAAAAGATGTCCTTTTCATCACAGGGGATTAGAATGCAAAAGTAGGCAATCAAGAGATACCTGGAGTAATGGGCAAGTTTGGCCTTGGAGTACAAAATGAAGCAGGGGAAAAGCTAACTGAGTTTTGCCAAGAGAATGCACTGGTCACAACAAACACCCTCTTCCAACAACACAAGAGACAACTCTACACATGGATGTGACCAGATGGTCAATACTGAAATCTGACTGATTATATTCTTTGCAGCCATACAGATGGGAGACTGTACAGATGGAGAAGCTCTATACAGTCAGCAAAAATAAGACCAGGAGCTGACTGTGGCTCAGGTCGTGAACTCCTTATTGCAAAATTCAGATTAAATTGAAGAATGTAGGGAAAACCACTAGGCTATTCAGGTATGACCTAAATCAAATCCATTATGATTATACAGTGGAAGTGACAAATAGATTCAAGGGATTAGATCTGACAGAGTGCCCAAAGAACTATAGACGAATGTTCCTAACACTGCACAGGACGTGGTGATCAAAACCATCCCCAAGAAAAAGAGATGCAAAAAGGCAAAATGGTTGTCTGAGGAGGCCTTACAAACAGCTGAGAAAAGAAGAGAATTGAAAGGCAAAGGAGAAAAAGGAAAGATCTATCCATCTGAATGCAGAGTTCCAGAGACTAGCAAGCAGAGATAAGAAAGTCTTTTTAAGTGAACAATGCAAAGAAATAGAGGAAAACAACAGAATACGAAAGACTAGAGATCTCTTCAAGAATATTAAGAGATACCAAGGGAACACATCATGCAAAGATGGGCACAATAAAGAACAGAAACAGTATAAGCCTAACAGAAAAAGAAGATATTAAGAGGTGGCAAGACTACACAGAAGAACTAGACAAAGAAGATCTTCATGACCCAGAAAACCATGATGATGTGATCACTCACCTAGAGCCAGACATCCTGAAGTGTGAAGTCAAGTGGGCCTTAGAAAGCATCACTACGAACAAAGCTAGTGGAGGTGATGGAATTCCAGTTTGAGCTATTTCAAATCCTAAAAGATGATGCTGCAGAAGTGCTGCATGCAATATGCCAGCAAATTTGGAAAACTCAGCAGTGGCCATAGGACTGGAAAAGGTCAGTTTTCATTCCAATTCCAGAGAAGTACA